GGGCTCGTGTTGCCATATACGTTTCCCTCTTATTCCATCTCCCTCGTTTCAGTGCTGGTATCCCCACAGACTGGGCCACCGTCAACCAGGTTATACTGAAATAAGACTCTGACAATCATCATTCGTCCTGTCCGAGCGAGTCATTCCCCTCTTTCTGCGCCGAACACCAATGTTCTGTTACCGAGAAACGCTGTGGACACGCCTGCATTCCCAACACGCACGACTGCTGTTCAGCAGATGAGCATTGCTGGCCCGGGGACTATTGTTTCTATTATAACGCTATGATTCGATGCTGCCCGCTGGGGATGAGCTGTATTCAGATTTCTGGAGAGGTCGTGGTTCAGCAGATAATCTCATGGTACGAGTTGTTGGATGGTCCTGAGAAAGACGAAGGCGACTGGTTCCAATCTGTTTTTGATGCTACGACCAAGATTACAGTATCCGCATCCTATACAGATGAGGCCAGCTCCTCATACTCTAGTCTGAGCTCGATGCTTTTGGAAGGCGCACATTTGCCAATCGCTGGGCCTACACAGGGCATCTAGGAACACTGTTCTATATCTTTGACCTTGCTACAAGTTTTGAGTATCCTATGTACCTACAAACTTGCACAAATAAGTCTATAAACTGTTTCTGATTTCATGCCGAGACTCGACATAGCCAGCGGAGCTCGACAGGAATAGCAGGGCGAGCAACAGGCAATAATGCAAGGATATTAATGCCCCTAAACAAGTTTTTTCAACAACCGTAACTTCTCCTCGCCAAGGCAATCATTTTCTCAGTAGCGTTTATAATTCGCCCATTGGGACAAGGCCAAAAGGTGGAGGAATTCGTAGTCTAGCTCGCGCCGTTCTTGGGCAAAAAGTCCTTTAATGGGATTGCAAGACAAGGAGCCAATAACTTCATTTCTGAGTCTACATCAGCTGAAATAATAAAAACCAAAAGTCTAATGTGCCTGGTGACACAGTGTTGGGATCAGGCCATGAAATGCTGTCCAATTAAGCTCGTGCATTGACCCCCATGCTGACATGAGCGCTAGCCGCCCACGAGCCGGGGCTCGAGCTTGCCCGGGAAGGAACCCCGGAGGATTCGCCCCTTTAGCGCGCGGGATTTTGTCGGCCAATAATTGGTTCAGACGGAAGACTGATAAGAACAGTCTTGTTCAACAGGCGATCTAGAAGGGGGCTGAATTAATAATCAAGCAGATGGGTGGTCCGATTTTTGATGTTAGGAAAGAATGTGCTCAGTCTTGGTAGAAATTCCTGTTTGAGTAGAAGCTATATTAAAGCCAATGAGAATGCAAATCATCCGGACGTGGAAGTTTAGTGTGTTTGGTGACAGAGTGGGACAAAACCCTGGGCTACTGTCCAATCAAGCTTGATGATCAACCAACAGGACTGCACTTGTGATCGCCGCAGCACGAGCCAGGCCTCGAGCTAAGTAGGGAGAGAGAACCAGGCGGCCACTTATAGGCGCCAGTGCGTGGACTAACGGACTCATGAGGCGTGCTGCGGCAACGTTTGTGCGGCTTTCTTTCCCCGCCCAATCACTTTCTTTCTATGTAACCTTTAGAGAATAGATGGATGGCTATCATCCATGACATATCTTTGACAGATAAGAGCCTTGATTTTGTTTCTTTTAAACCCCACTTGCTCATCGTACTGGGAACACGGTAATCAACTGGCATGAGAAAAGAGGGAACTTGGCAGCCTCACGAGCTCTATCTAAGAGTACGAAGTGCTATAACCTCCAGGTGCTCGCCTACGTGCTTGATGAGCCTGGTCCAGTCCATGTAGATTCCGCCACAGAATCGGCAGGGTTCCTCTTGAGGATTTTTAGTCGTTTTGTGGCTGCAGCTTTCCACAAGTTCCGAAAACTCGTCAACCTGCCGCGTCGGGTGATGTATAGGGTATCTCGAGTTAGGCATCACATCATGCTCTCGGACGAGATGCTGCACGAAATTATCCTTTCGATAAGCCTTGTACTCACAACCTGGGAGAGAGCATTCCCAGTACTTAAGCTGTCGGTGCCGCTCATTCTCATGTCGGATCCAGTCAGCTTTCCGTTTAAAGGGTCCAGGATTAGCACAGTCTGGGAAGGTGCATATAAACGGCTGTATATCTTCGAAAAGATGCTTAGTCCAGTCTGATGGAGTCTGGATTTTCTTCACATTGAAGCACAGGGGGCATTCAAACTCCGCCGGGAACATATTGACCGACAGTAGCGGGCGGGGGGTACCACCAAGATGTTCCTCAGCAACCGATTGTCCTTGGACCCACGGATGACCTGTTTTGTAGCCTGATTCAAGATGAACGTGATCATGTCGAGCATAACAGTATCTGCCGGACTTGCATTTCCCTTGCATGATGGCGTTGACATGTTCCTGTTTTATCTCATCTAATCGCTTGGTTCGGCGAGCATGTTCATAAGCAAGACGATCCCTCAGGACAGGACCAAGAACTGGGATAAGTTGAGTAAGGTGGTTTCGAGCCCAGTTAAAAAGTTCAAAATACTGCGGGCCAAGTGCTTTTGTGTTGATATGTGTATTGTCCGGATAATCAAGACGCGTTCCTACCTCGTCTAGAGTGGGTTCATTAAGAAAATTTGTCGAATTCTGGGATCCCACATTTAGCAAGGTTGTAGAGGCGGCCTCCCTTCCTATAGGCGATTGTATAGATGCCCTAGCATTGATGGGGGAAGAGATTTCCATAGTATGGTCGGCACCTGCTTCGTGATCCTGCTTCCGATAGAGTCTATTCCACCAAGAATTAAACGACTCCTTCATTGGTTCAGGACTCGGTACATTAAAATAGTTGTCCCAATATGCATCGTTCGCCTGCTCCTCTTCTAGCGTGAGCCTGACTGGTCCAGGGGAGAACACTGGCGAGGTTGCTGCGAAGCCAGGAGAGTTACGCTCGCTTGGTGCATCCCCCTGGCCCTGAGAGGGGTTTCGCTCTTGGATCGATAATGGCTTATTCTGAGGGATAAATTCGACCTAAGATTCTCGTAAGTGATATGTCTTCTAAGTGCGAGATATTATATCTCACCCAGTTCTCCTTTTCTCTGGCCAGGTCTCTAGCTCTGCTGAGTCTCTTATACCGAATACGACAGGCAGCTATTCCCCGTCCTAGTTTCTCACTTATTTCTGTCCATGGCGTCCTGTTTCCTACCATGATATCTAGGAGGNGGGCTCGTGTTGCCATATACGTTTCCCTCTTATTCCATCTCCCTCGTTTCAGTGCTGGTATCCCCACAGACTGGGCCACCGTCAACCAGGTTATACTGAAATAAGACTCTGACAATCATCATTCGTCCTGTCCGAGCGAGTCAGCCCCCTCTTTCCGCGCCGAACACCAATGTTCTGGTACCGAGAAACGCTGTGGACACGCCTGCATTCCCAACACGCACGACTGCTGTTCAGCAGATGAGCATTGCTGGCCCGGGGACTATTGTTTCTATTATAACGGTATGATTCGATGCTGCCCGCTGGGGATGAGCTGTATTCAGATTTCTGGAGAGGTCGTGGTTCAGCAGATAATCTCATGGTACGAGTTGTTGGATGGTCCTGAGAAAGACGAAGGCGACTGGTTCCAATCTGTTTTTGATGCTACGACCAAGATTACAGTATCCGCATCCTATACAGATGAGGCCAGCTCCTCATACTCTAGTCTGAGCTCGATGCTTTTGGAAGGCGCACATATGCCAATCGCTGGGCCTACACAGGGCATCTAGGAACACTGTTCTATATCTTTGACCTTGCTACAAGTTTTGAGCATCCTATGTACCTACAAACTGGCACAAATAAGTCTATAAACTGTTTCTGATTTCATGCCGAGACTCGACAAAGCCAGCGGAGCTCGACAGGAATAGCAGGGCGAGCAACAGGCAATAATGCAAGGATATTAATGCCCCTAAACAAGTTTTTTCAACAACCGTAACTTCTCCTCGCCAAGGCAATCATTTTCTCAGTAGCGTTTATAATTCGCCCATTGGGACAAGGCCAAAAGGTGGAGGAATTCGTAGTCTAGCTCGCGCCTTTCTTGGGCAAAAAGTCCTTTAATGGGATTGCAAGACAAGGAGCCAATAACTTCATTTCTGAGTCTACATCAGCTGAAATAATAAAAACCAAAAGTCTAATGTGCCTGGTGACACAGTGTTGGGATCAGGCCATGAAATGCTGTCCAATTAAGCTCGTGCATTGACCCCCATGCTGACATGAGCGCTAGCCGCCCACGAGCCGGGGCTCGAGCTTGCCCGGGAAGGAACCCCGGAGGATTCGCCCCTTTAGCGCGCGGGATTTTGTCGGCCTATAATTGGTTCAGACGGAAGACTGATAAGAATAGTCCTGTTCAACAGGCGATCTAGAAGGGGGCTGAATTAATAATCAAGCAGATGGGTGGTCCGATTTTTGATGTTAGGAAAGAATGTGCTCAGTCTTGGTAGAAATTCCTGTTTGAGTAGGAGCTATATTAAAGCCAATGAGAATGCAAATCATCTGGACGTGGAAGTTTAGTGTGTTTGGTGACAGAGTGGGACAAAACCCTGGGCTACTGTCCAATCAAGCTTGATGATCAACCAACAGGACTGCACTTGTGATCGCCGCAGCACGAGCCAGGCCTCGAGCTAAGTGGGGAGAGAGAACCAGGCGGCCACTTATAGGCGCCAGGGCGTGGACTAACGGACTCATGAGGCGTGCTGCGGCAACGTTTGTGCGGCTTTCTTTCCCCGCCCAATCACTTTCTTTCTATGTAACCTTTAGAGAATAGATGGATTGTTATCATCCTTGACATATCTTTGACAGATAAGAGCCTTGATTTTGTTTCTTTTAAACCCCACTTGCTCATCGTACTGGGAACGCGGTAATCAACTGGCATGAGAAAAGAGGGAACTTGGCAGCCTCACGAGCTCTATCTAAGAGTACGAAGTGCTATAACCTCCAGGTGCTCGCCTACGTGCTTGATGAGCCTGGTCCAGTCCATGTAGATTCCGCCACAGAATCGGCAGGGTTCCTCTTGAGGATTTTTAGTCGTTTTGTGGCTGCAGCTTTCCACAAATTCCGAAACCTCGTCAACCTGCCGCGTCGGGTGATGTATAGGGTATCTCGAGTTAGGCATCATATCTTGCTCTCGGTCGAGATGCTGCACGAAATTATCCTTTCGATAAGCCTTGTACTCACAACCTGGGAGAGAGCATTCCCAGTACTTAAGCTGTCGGTGCCGCTCATTCTCATGTCGGATCCAGTCAGCTTTTCGTTTAAAGGGTCCAGGATTAGCACAGTCTGGGAAGGTGCATATAAACGGCTGTATATCCTCGAATAGATGCTTAGTCCAGTCTGAAGGAGTCTTGATTTTCTTCACATTGAAGCACAGGGGGCATTCAAACTCCGCCGGGAACATATTGACCGACAGTAGCGGGCGCGGGGTACCACAAAGATGTTCCTCAGCAACCGATTGTCCTTGGACCCACGGATGACCTGTTTTGTAGCCTGATTCAAGATGAACGTGATCATGTCGAGCATAACAGTATCTGCCGGACTTGCATTTCCCTTGCATGATGGCGTTGACATGTTCCTGTTTTATCTCATCTAATCGCTTGGTTCGGCGAGCATGTTCATAAGCAAGACGATCCCTCAGGACAGGACCAAGAACTGGGATAAGTTGAGTAAGGTGGTTTCGAGCCCAGTTAAAAAGTTCAAAATACTGCGGGCCAAGTCCTTTTGTGTTGATATGTGTATTGTCCGGATAATCAAGACGCGTTCCTACCTCGTCTAGAGTGGGTTCATTAAGAAAATTTGTCGAATTCTGGGATCCCACATTTAGCAAGGCTGTAGAGACGGCCTCCCATCCTATAGGCGATTGTATAGATGCCCTAGCATTGATGGGGGAAGAGATTTCCATAGTATGGTCGGCACCTGCTTCGTGATCCTGCTTCCGATAGAGTCTATTCCACCAAGAATTAAACGACTCCTTCATTGGCTCAGGACTCGGTACATTAAAATAGTTGTCCCAATATGCATCGTTCGCCTGCTCCTCTTCTAGCGTGAGCCTGACTGGTCCAGGGGAGAACACTGGCGAGGTTGCTGCGAAGCCAGGAGAGTTACGCTCGCTTGGTGCATCCCCCTGGCCCTGAGAGGGGTTTCGCTCGTGGATCGATAATGGCATATTCTGAGGGATAAATTCGACCTAAGATTCTCGTAAGTGATATGTCTTCTAAGTGCGAGATATTATATCTCACCCAGTTCTCCTTTTCTCTGGCCAGGTCTCTAGCTCTGCTGAGTCTCTTATACCGAATACGACAGGCAGCTATTCCCCGTCCTAGTTTCTCACTTATTTCTGTCCATGGCGTCCTGTTTCCTACCATGATATCTAGGAGGGTAATGTCCTCTGGAGACCAGCGCTTCTTATGATCAAGTGGATTATTGCGACGATCATATTCAGAACAAGCATGAGCAGACCGACCAGGGAGCGCGCGACTGATATCATCCCAGGATTTCCCTTGAGCTTTGAGTTCATGTGCTAAAGTAGCCTCGTCTAGAGACCAGGTTTTGCCTGCCGACTGGGGCTTGGTCTGGAACCAGGACTTATCAGACTCATCACTAGTACAATGAGGAGATGCTGGATCATTGTTGAGCAGAGAAGCAATATCCATAGTAAAGAGAACTAGAAATGATGTGAGATAGTTTCAAGCACTTGTTTGTCTGTACCAGAATAACAAAGAAGCAGCAGCGACGGAAAAAGTTGGCAAGGGGGAGGGGCCGGGGGCGGGCGGACCTTAAGAGGAAGAGAAAAAGAGAAAAATGATAATCATTTCTAGTCTCTAGATAAGAATAGCTACTTTGGCAGGGGTCGTCTAAGTCTTCCGCATTGGCCAGGATCTAGACAAATACCGTACTGGAGCAAACCTTAGTACTACTAGGCATCCCTGGCACATGCCCTCGCTTGCCGACTAATCTGCCCTCCAAGATCCTTGCAAGGAACCAAGGCTACGCCATCGACAGTAGTAGCTTCTATAGCTAGTTATCCCACATCCAGGCAGCGTCCGTAGTGGGGTAAGACTGTTCTGAAGACTATTCTGTTGCTTGCCTCCACTACGGTGATACCGTCGACCGAGTCGTTGGAACTGTAACTCCTCCACTTGAATATCGCTTATTAAGATACCGAAGAAGGCAATTAACCACTGTTTTATAAGATACTTGATGCATTTAGCTATGCTATTCGCGTTCCTTCTTAAAACTTGCCTGTGCTTTCAGAGCAAAGCTTCCCAGGCTTCGAGTAAAGAGCTCCCGTGCCTCAGCCTCTTGTTCCTCGAGAACGGCCTCCTTATTGGCAGGATCTTTAGTGTTAATAAACAGAGAACAATTACCCCACACACGCTTCACTTCATCTGATGTTCCCAATACATGGAAGCTTTCGAGAATCCTCGAGAGGTTTCTGTAGTGCTTATCTACCAGGTCTTCATTAGAAATTGTAGGGTAATCTTCTTGGAACCGAAGAGCTTCGAGGGTTGTCGATAGATGAGCTGACGTATAAAAATTGCCTCCAACAAACAAGGAGTCTTCTGGTGTGAATACGGCATGTGGAAGCATTGGAGGCATGATACTAGGAACGAAGATTAGTATAGGATTCCAAAAGAGCATATCACCTACAAGAGATCACCGGCCTGAAGCTCCACACGAGCCCACCCTCCAATATATCCATTCACATATTGAGACCCAACCTGCGCAAGTAACCGGATAGAAGTAGAATCAACTCTGCGAGGGAAATAGAAAATCTTTCGACCATGTAAGACCTTGATAAAGGTTAGGCCACCACCCGCATCCGTGTGGGTAGTAGACACAGCATTGGCTGTACTTGCAACAAGGAACTCTGCATGTGAGCTTGACCACATGGAGTCAGTTTTGCCCACCGTCTCCTCGGCGTGTAGTAGCGCCCGCTCAAGCAGATTAGCATTAATAATCGGGACCGGGCAGCAGTGTCCTAGCCTATTCTCAATATCAAGGCAGTTCAGGGGTGTTCGGGAGTGCGATGGTTTGTTCCAGTGGTCAATAACCTTTTGGACAGTGCGTTGTTGAGTACGCTTTGACTCAGTCAAGATTGAGTAGTCATAGACATCAATCTTCTTGTTCGAATTTTTCTGGAGGTAGTCCCAAAAGTTTGCCCAAGTTATAGGAGAAGCGTGCTTTGAAGTGGACAGATAGAGAAGAGGCTTGGGAAAACACTTCCCAAGGCATTCCTCAAGCATTTTATCATCATTGATGACAACTACATCCTCGTCGAATGGTTTGTGCTGAACAGTACTAAGTACTTCAAGGGGGCTCCGCGTGCGCTGGCTCATAAGCTCCTCTATAATACGAGGTCGACAAATTGCCCATGACGAGTTGTTATCAAGCCTCTGGATGAATGCGCGAAGCTCTTTGACACCAGTATTTCGAAATGTGTCGAACCCAAGATCATATGATCCCCATTTGCGGATTCTAATAACTCCTTCCTCTCGCTTCCGCGTCCTCCGATGGGCCTCACTCCAGTTCGTTGCCCTTCTTTTGGTTGCCGGAGATATGGTCGGGTATGATGGACCTGATGCGTTCGAGGAGGGTAAAGCCAGTAGCGATGACGCTGGGAGCGCAGTCGAGAACGATGCGGTTGGGCAGGATGCGATCGAAAGAGTTGTAATCGGCGATGTGGCTGGACTGGACGCAATGGAGGAGGCAGTTGATGAGGCTACGGTCGAAGCTGCGGTCGGTGATGTGGTTGGGTTGGAAGTAATCAAGGCAGCGGATGAGACTGTGCTCGGCGATGCGGTTAAGCAGGACGCAATCGAGGAGGCAGTTGATGAGGCTACGGTCGGCGATGCGGTCGGCGATGTGGTCGGTATGGGTGATGGTCGCATTGCGTCTAAAGGGATCCAGTTTTTGGAGCCGTTGATAAAGATGCTTGGCGCGAATATGGGAAAGATGAGGCAGAAGATGTTGTCAGGAAGATGAACAAGTTGTCACGCAGCCTGCTGAGTTTCTGCCAAGCCTTCCAAGTTGTCACGAGGTCTGGCAAGTTGTCACGAGGTCTGGCAAGTTGTCACGAGGTCTGGCAAGTTGTCATCCACGCCGCTGAGTTGCTGCCAAGCCTTATGAGTTGTGATGATTGCAGACAACTGGCCGCCACGAATTCAGAGTTCCAGGGTGCGCAATTGGTTATACGGCTCCCCAGTGCTGGTTCAGGTTTCGGAAACTTCTTACTACTTTATGATTACTTAAAAAGACTCGGTTAATATCTTCCCTTAGACCCTGAATCGGATCCCCTGGAACCTTGGATTCTCTCATACACTATGGAGGACTTGAAGAGCAGCAGCTAATAAGGTGTTTATCAAACCAATTATTATATTTTGTCAGAAGTCTTCGCTTTAAATACTAAGGAAAGTATATAGAACTTCTAATGTAAAAGCCCATGAGATTTCCAGTGTATTCCACCAAGCAACCTGCATATGGCTGGGAAAGTGAGTTGAGAGAGATAGCTCCTACTCGCGGATTCCACTTGAATAACCTGGAAAGATTGAATCAACCCCACCAGCGCTCAGAGAAGTGGCGGCGCTTCGTCTCGAATCCCATATGTCGGACTATCGATAGCAGTAAAGTTTGGAGCGAGGGAACTTGGCCCGTGAATCTCTTGGTGCCTAGAGACTGCCTCCCAGCGGCATTTCGGGGAAGCCATCCTTGTCTAACTTGCTGAGTTGTTGCAAGCGCGACCAGCGTCGCTGACAGCCAGCACGGGTCCGCTTCCCACCAAATGCTTCACTAACGCGATCCCAGGACTTCCCTTGTGTGACTGATTTATATAGCAATGTATCTTCTGCTGGTTTCCACGGATGCTTTCCGATTAAGCCGCGGCGGCGTTGATAGTATAATCGACAAGCCGCAGCGGACCGCTTCCCACCAAATTTTGCACTGATTTCATCCCAGGTCTTCCCAGCTGTACGCAATTCCTTGAGCAACGTAACGTCTTGCGGTGGCCACGCTTTCCGCTTCTTGGGGTTGTCTTGGGATGCAGCCTCTCCCCCTGTATTCTCCATAGGTTGTGTAGTAGAGGTCTCGGTCTCTATTCTTTGAACGAGGTACGATTGTTCCGTGGGAAGTTGAAATATACGAGGGCGGAGCAGCGTATGGTTATCACTATCGAGTAAGTTTAGTACCACCGAACTTTGCCCAATACTCGTCTTCTCCCTAATCATGCAAAGAATATCTTTCACCCATCCCTGGGTCTCGCTTGATGAAGCAGCCGAGGCAGCTAACACGAACATAAACCAGGGGATAGTTAAGACTAGACTGGACATTCGGTCGAAAACACTCCCCCGCGGGCGAAAGAGCCATGTCACACTATGCCTAAGATTAGAGGTGATTGTTTGGATATCATTGTCCCTCTGCATTGTTTCCGGCAATTTGGAGAGAATCAGATCCACGGCGATCCGCGCACACCGGTATTGGTTCATTGCAAGGCATACCAACAGGCCGTGTCGGGTAGGGTCAGACTCCGATAAAAGCCTTTCTGATGGGTCCTTATGCCAGATCAAGAGCTTCTGTTGGATCGAGTCTGCTTTTGCCCGTATTTCATCTGGATGTAGCTTGACTTCATGTATATCCGCCGTAAGGCCAGCAAGTTCCCCGATGATATATGTAAGACGGTCACAGCAACCTTCAGGTTCCTGCCCTATCTTAGTACGCTCTAATAGATCACTTGGGACGTGAAATTCTCCCAACAGACTCTGGGAGAGCTACTTGGAGTTAGCTAATAAGCATCAAGATCAAGAGGAGTAGCATACTATAGCATATTTAAGCTGAACAAGCTCGTAAATTATATCGCGATGTTCATGACTGAGACTGCGCAAGTCTTTAAATGTCGTAAGTAACGGAATCACACCTTTCTTGATATTTTCCACAGACCCACATCTTGCCACCTGGCGTCCTGGTTAACTACTTTCTATCCATGGGATTGAAGGTAGCCTGTACCTCAATGAATGCCTTTATATACGATGTCTGTATATAAAAATTTGTCGCTGTGCGTTTATATGTGTTCCAACAGGAATTCAACACCGAAAGTTGTCTGGCATCAGAGATATTCTCGAGGCAGGCATGCAGGTCTTTCGGAGGCATCATTTGGTCAAGTCTGTCATTCTCTGGAGATGGAAGTCGAGAGCTTGCCGGGCTCGGGCAAAAAACAGAGGCACGGCTCTCGGTTGATTCGGACTGGGATTCGTCGATAGAAGGCAATAAGCTCTGGTGAACAGCTGAAGTTGCTGTATCCGATATGGTTGAAAAGGAATTCTCTGTAGTTTGTGTTTCTGGATTCTGTCAGTTACCAGACTCATATCAACCAAGCTGTACTAACCGTGACTTTTTTCCCTAGGGACGCATGGGACGCCGTCCGCAACACATCGAACACATGGCCTCTGGTCACTGTGCTTTGGCAGACAAAACACATATAAGTTCATATTTAGAAATTTACTGGGCTCCCTCATACCTTGGCCTTGCGTTTAACGCAGTGCATACAAGCAGCGAACCGTGAACAAGATTGCCGTGGAGTACATTCAATATTTCGCCTCACACACTCGGGACATGGCTTGTCTCGAGCGCACTAAGAAAACATTAAGCTCGTATAAAAAATCAATGATCCTCCTCATACCTTAAGTTTGCTTTCATTGCATGACGCGCAAGCATCCGGGTTATAGGTTTGTGTGTGGGATTCCAAACGCCATTTAATAACACTAAATTGGTTCATAATTGGCGTGCCTGTTGTTCTGGTGTTCACTGATGGGTAGTCTCGGAAGTTCGGGGGATGACACGAGCGCTGCAGGACTATTTGGGAGGCTTTTTGAGACAAGGGTCAAGAAGAGGTATGATCGAGCTGAATAAGGCAGGGCAAGATCAAGCATAAGTTCGTGGAGAGAATAGTTCCAGGCTGAAAATGGGCCGGCAGACTGTTTGTAAGGTAACAGATTGCAAAAGCAGGTAAGATATAGGTCACGATCAGGAAGAAAAAACACCCTTGCCATGAAAGGTTCCGATTTTTGGGTAAAAGAGAATAAAGTAGTGGACACAATAAAAGGAAGGGAATCCAGCTAAGATATAGGATCCAGAAGGCTCCCCCAATCTGTTCTCATGCTATGGCCATGGATCCGAGAAAAAGAACGTCCACGCTTACGGAGGGGCATGGAAAGGGGAAGAGGCAGGCCTTGTTATAAGTGGAAGAGGAGCTGAGAAACAGACTAATGCCCTAGCCAGAATGAGGGAAATAAAACAAAAGAAAGCGAAAAATAGGCCAGAAGTTCTTTGTACTTTTAGATTAACTTCAAAAACAGTCCAGCCTTTCCGTCAGTCATAGTCCGATTAATTAATTTACTTGTATACTAGTTAGGTGACTCCAGCATATCAAAAATTCGTACAATGTTTTATTTTTTTTTCCTTGTTGACCAACAACCTTTTTTTGAATCAAGTTATGTACCTTTGGGCTCTTCCATATTCCTTACACCCCAGGCCAGATGTGGTTGTAACTGTTCTGGCTTAGGTTAAGACCCGGTTGATACTGTGTCTTGGAGAACGTGGTCTGTTGAATTGAGCGGAATTGGGAGCCTTGCTTCGATAATGGTCTCGCTCGTCCCGGTAGTAGTCTCGCTCACTCCTCAAGAACTCGCTGTTCTTAGCTTCCCTTTCAAGCTCTTCTTGCGTGTGCGCTAGTTGGCTCTCTAGCCTCTTCACCTCCTGCTGGAGCATCTCTATCTCCTTTTTCCGTTCGCGGAATCTCCGAGACGCTTCAGCGCTTGCCCTTCGCTTCTCCGTTTTTTCTGCCGAGCCCGAGTCGTTTGATTGGACGGGAATCCAAGGCTGATGCATTATGACCTATCGCCGATTATCAGCTCTGCTCGTGGTACTTTGGAATGGAAGAAAATCTAGGGAGATACCTTCGTTGCCTGGTGGTTTGTTCGGTATGGATGATTGATACTGGCCGTTGTTCGTAAAAGGCTGAAGCTTGAGCTTGAACGGCCATAGCCCTTTTATCCTTTTGAGAGCTTCACGGGAAAAAGACTAATCTGATCACTTCCTGGGGCTAGTTCAACCAACTCCCAGCTATACGCATAGGCCCTCCTAGGCCTGGTCTCTTGGGGAGAGAAAGGATTTTTTTATTTTTTTTTAAAAAAAAAAAAAAAATAATAAAAAATAAATAAATAAATAAAAATAAAAATTCTTGGGCAAGTGCCATGGAAGTCCAGAGTGCTGAGCTATTATCTCCCTAGCTACCCCACTGGAGTTGGATTGAAACCCTAGTCCTCTGACATGCAGGAAATTTTAAACCTTTAGAAAAAATGTTGCTTCTTACTATCTTTCTCCCAGACCGAAACAGTTGAGCTTCAAATCTAAAGAGGGAGTATGGAAAGGAAATAGCAGGTACTGTTATGAGTGCAGGAGCTGAGGAGAGAGGTTTTTGGGTTGCCGTAAGTACTGGCCCAAGGGCCATCAGGGGTCGAGTAAGCGTCTGGGCCGACTCTTCGATGCTACTCTCAAGTTGGATATGGCTTCCTCCGCTGTTCTCCAATACATGCTCTCCACCGAGTTCGCGATCTTTAATAGCTTATCCCAATCCCATCCGGCCTCTTTGACGGATTCAGCGGCTTCTGGAATTGCAATGAATTGATTCCAAGTAAGACGCTCGATGTATAGCCTCCCAACAATAACAACCAAGTGGTCATGGGCCGCCTCAGCATCGAAGAAGGTGATCTGCTAGTTTTAGAACGCGCTCTTCTTCAAATTGGCGCTGGGTAAAGCTAACTTTCCCCCGCTTGGCGGGTTTTTGTCGCAACCAGCTGAACATGGGAATAGCCCGTGGGTCTCAGGACTGGCGGTCTTTTCTCAAGGAACAGGTCTATGAGGCGTCCATCAACTGGGCACGGCTGCATAATTTATAGACCTCAGGCTAATCCTTGAAGTATCGTGGTTGCCACGGGATGTTGGATCCCTCCTACTGACTTGCCGTGGGGCCTAGCCCTGCATTAGGTCGTAAAGTAGACGAGCACAATATTTTCTGAGCCGGACGAATAACCCTATTTAGGACATGGATTTTGACAAAAAAATTTTGAAATTAACTCCCGAGCAAGAGCAAAATAAAAGTTGAAATAGTCACTGGTCTCTTGGGCGGATGGCAAGAAGGTCGCGTTTTGCGTTAGTGTAGCACGTACAAACAAAGGCCAAGTCACACAATCAGGTTAATATTGGTTGGGCTGATATCTCTATAAGAAATTCTGAGTGTTTCTTATAACAACTAATTTAGCAATAGAGGTTATAGAAAAGAGCAACGAGACTGAACTACAGAATAGCTAGGATAGGACAAATTAAAGTTCACAAAGCACAATCGCTCTGTCTGTGAGCGAGAACAATGCCAGCAGGACAATCAAGAAAACTCTCTTGGAAGAACAACAAGGAAGTCACTTTCTTCGATTTTATAGTGCCCACAGAGTGCTTCCACGTCAGACTTTGGTACCCAACCTCGCACGACATCCAGCAGGTGCTGAATATGCTGACGTTGGTCTGAGTCGAATTGAGAGCCATCGATGACTGGCGGGCACGAGATGTTGCCCTCTTCCACGTTCTGATACATCACTGATACAGACAGCGTTTGCTGATCAGGAATAATGCCATTGTATCGTCGAGGAAAAGAGATTCCGTACTGCCTTTCGGCTTCGATAATATCGAGAATATCGAGAGGATCATTGCCTTCAGACTTGAAGCAGGCTGTGAAAGACAGAAAAAAGTTTCGCATGAATGACATTGGGCTCCAGTATGACTGCATCGAGGGGGAGGTAAGATTTGGATGGCGCGATGAAGCCATATTCCTGTTAGATTGATAGGATTGCTGTACCAGTCAGCTTAGGTGGTACAAAAGTGGCAGGCCAAGGCTCACCGGCGGCAGCCATGTCCAGTTGGGAGTATCATCTAGGGTCGAGACTGGACCCTGGTGGACAGCAGATATTCTTGCGGCGGGATGTGCCTGTATCCCATATTGTAGCGAGTTTGGCTCTCCTGCAGGAGCTAATATTGGATAGGAAATAGTGCGGTATTTCGGGGAGGGATCAGAACACCACGACATAGCTTGTGCAGGCGGTGATCTGAGCAGGAGGGGTTAACTAGCTTTGACTGCTGGAGCTGAGTTGCGGTGTGCATTTCGGCACAAGGCTGCGCTATTTATAAGGTCAGTTTGTGTTCTACAGTATACCGATAGGCTGACGCCGTTTCTCTGGAAATGCCGTGAGATGGTAGGATACGCGACGGTCCAGAACATCTGAGTTGAGATGGTGGGATCCGTGCGGCTATCACAGTTGCAGTGTACATTCACATCGAACATATCGCTAGTGAGATTGGCTGATTCCCTGGGAAGAGGACGCCAGGGGGGCATGGTGAATGTGCGCTGTCATGGACGTAATCACTGCGGTTGGCGCGCAGACCTTGTGCCAACTGGGCTCGATTTCTATATGAAAATCGAGTTTCAGATACCAGCATTGATGACATACACGTTCAGTAGGTCTAGAACTTCAGCCAATGCGGGTTCCTTTGCCACAGTCTGTTCGCTAGCTGCCGGCCATTATACTATCTATATACTACTCTCAAAAAAGGAAGTAGGAATCGGGAGCTGATAGGTTCAGTGTCGCTCACCATTATCAAGCTCACAAAATCTTAGTGAACTAATTAGGATTTGGCACCTTTAGACTAAATATCTGGGATCTTTCCTGCATCTTGAACTCCCAGAACTCAAATCTCGCAACCTTCATTTCTGTTGAGTTAGGGTAACCCCTGAACAATTTTGCCGGCCGTAAACCACACATATACGTGAAATCCTGGCGCTCCTAGCCAAGACTGGCAGATCCTTGAACCTTAACTATCGCAGCGCTCATGTCCACACCTGCGGCATGTTTCTCCCCAGCTGTTTGATTACTACAAGCACAACATCCAATTGGCCCGGTGGTCACGTCATTACTTGGGTCTTGCTCTGATTAGTCTTTCTGCTAATAATTGGCAAAGAGAAAGAAGTCCAACCTTTTCTAGATAGGGGAGGGTGGGAAAGTCTTTCGTCGTCTTCGTTGGTACAGCAGAATCGGGAGCCTGATGAAAAATAGAATGGCTAGAATAAGGCCAGTGTAAACGAGTACTTGATGAAACCACAAGAGGCATATAGTTACATAGAGCCCAAACGCAATTAATCGGAACATGGTCATTGGCTTAAAGAGAAATAAATGTCAATAAAGGCTAGGAAAGGTGAATCAACGCCTATATATTGTTTGAAAAAACACGGGTCCATATGTGGCCGCGAGCAGAGATTAATGGCTCAGCCTTGCTCCGAGCCATCACCTACCGACGGGTTTTTGCATGATCCGGACCGTACCTCGACATCTCAAGATATTTGTTGCCAATAACCCAATGGTAAAATTGAAGCTTGACTTCTCCTTTGTCTTCGTATGCAAGACTTTGGCTTATGATTGGAAGATGAGCAAGCCTGCGGGTTGTTGGGATCTGCTCTGGACCTTTGCGAAAAACCATCTTGATCTGGGGAGCATCACTGTCCGGATAATGCACTCCTGCATTGTGAAATTGAAAGTCACGGTAGCGTTTTTTGAAGGTATCCGGCTCACAGTAGGTTAGGACATCGGCTATCCAGAAGAACAAAAGGAAGAAACCACAAGTTCCTGGCGTTCAACATCCACTTCAGAAGCGGATCTCGGGCGGGCGAAGGACCTTAGCTTCAAGGCGATGAGTGCTCGGCATAGGGAAATGATGCTAAGGATGAGCATCCAGACCCGCGCCAGATACTGGTGTGAGGCATCAAGCATGGTCGAAGGAATTGATTTAAATGGTCGAGACCAAAGGTTCCCCCAACTTAGTAGGCGTGGGAAGAATAAAGATAGAGTGGTGTTCTTGCGGGTCTGGGCGATGACATCCAGGCCTTTGTGCACGGTTGCCGGTCAGACTGCTTAGTAGTGGAGTCACTTGCGCCACTATCACACTGCTCGTCATTCTGAACCAATTGCAGTTCCAAAGACGGCAGCAACTCGCTCAACCCCTGCAACTCTGCCTGCGAGTTGCATTCAAGAATAATATTCATTCCTTTTATTTTGAGCCGTCGGCTCAGGCTAGGCCTCCCTAAAAGGGTTTAGATTTGAGTGTACAACTGCCGCTGAAATCTAAACCCTTTTTGGCACGACTGGATGAGAGCGGGGTTCTGGTCAGGGGACTTCTCCACTAGCGCTCATGTCAAGGACCGGAACCAAAGTCTCCTCTAAGCAGTTCCCATCCTCAACACAACATGGCATCAGTCGAAGATGCAAAAGAGCTACAAAACCTACTGAGCAGACTCACACCCTCATCGATCATAGCTGAGGTATATCCCCTCCTCTGTTGACAGTGAAACGATCTAAAGTTTATAGGGTGGTGTTCCAATTTTTCACGATTTCTTCGCCAAAGGCTCCCCCAACGAAGTTGTTCAGTTTTTGCCCCCTCGCTTTTGGACGGAGTTCCAAAGATTCCAGACGAAGCTTCCCGATCACCTCAAAGCCTCTATTCTGCCACAAGTTACACCATCATCATCTCCCGGGTTGGCCCGTACCGTTGTTACTGGCGACCATAATGCCTTATCATGCGAACCAAGCACGACTGATCGCTATCCAGCAAGTCGTCCAACTCGCGAGAAACGACCTGCTGAACAGCACGATACTCTCAATGTGATTACGCCAGAATCCTTCAGGGAGCCGGAACAACATCAGAACATAAAACTTAGGAACAAGGTAGCTAAGTTGATCGCCAAAATCAACGCGGCTGCGCTTGAACTGCCCGAGTTTTATGAGACCATATGGAATACCGAGAATCGTCCTCAACCACAGAGTAAAGATGCACTTGATCGAATTGCAGGTCTGCAGCAACTCATCAACGCTAGCGTGGAAAACGAGAGCAAAGCTCTTTGCCAACAACGAATTGGGTATATCCTCTGCGATCATGAACTTGAGCTCATCAGTCGTTCTATCACAGACAAAGAACTTGAGAGAGGCAAAGATCGCAAAACATTGCTTAGTGACAGATTGTCAGTAAGAATGGACATATCGAAGCGGGAGCTTAGTGAATTTACACGCCATGGCAAATATTATCTATTCTTTTTCTATGAGTTCGGGCCGGGCGCTGTCATGAGACTCGGAGTGGGCAACAAGACACTGTAAGTAACACACGCTTAGGAGTGCGGTCGCTAACCAGAGTGTAGGCTCGAGAGAGAACTCCCTAAGGATGACGCTCCCTATGTCTTAAAATGCATCAGAAAGTCCTGCCCGGCCTGGGTTTCCAAATGTAATGACGTCAATTATGAGTCGGCTGTCTCAATTCTCAGAGGGCTGCAGTTCTCGGGCTGGAGCCCGGAGTCTGACTCTTGCACCAGGGAATCCGAGTCACTCACTCCCTTCATGGCGCGTCTGAGGCAATTCATTGACTTCGACAAATTTCTGAAGAGCGGCAAGATTTGCGACCTTCGACGGCCGGTTTCAGGCCAAGAGCCTGTCCGTGCGAGCCAATCCCCCGGCCCTTCTCCAGCAACGCCGATGCAAAGCGATGATGTTCCTATCGAGCAAGAAACAGACTCCGCATCGGAAATAGGCTCCTCGGTAGACAGTGATCTTTTTTGCTCGTCATTTTCACAGCATTCCGGGACCCCTGAGGAAGACATGATGCACTCCTCGAAGAGGAGGAGAATATCTAGATCGCATTCCCTAGAACCAATTGTGGGTATAAATTCTGTGCTCTTGTAAGAGTTAAGCTGACTTTGAATTTAGCAGGAAGCCACTACAGATGTACCATTTACCCAGCGACATTTCTGGTCTGTCATTTGGAACGAAGTCAACGGAGCAAGCCCACATAATCAGTCTGATCAATTACCAAACTCAAGCGATGTACCCTTCAGCCGGGCTCAACCCTCTGTCCATTCCAATAAGCGAAATATATCGCAGACAGACTCTGCAGAACAGCCGTCGCCTTCCAGCACTGAGCCAGATGATGCGCAAGCGCTCCCTTCAGGCAGACTTCCCCGTGACTTTAACACCAACTCTCTGGCGTCATTGGATCTACAGTTCGACACACGGGATGTCCTGGGACTTCCCCGCGATGATGCGCGCTCTAATCCAGTCGATGATCTGGATCCCCCTCTTCATAACATGCAGTTCGACCCACGGGATGTCCTGGGACTTCCCCGCGATGATGCGCGCTCTAATCCAGTCGATGATCTGGATCCCCCTCTTCATAACATGCAGTTCGACCCACGGGATGTCCTGGGACTTCCCTGCGATGATGCGCGCTCTAATCCAGTCGATGATAACACACAGTTCAATCCATGGGACGTCTTGGGTCTCCCGGTGCCTAATGGTTACCCCAATCAGGTTGATATCTTCGGCCCTCCTCTTGATGGGACGCAATGCAACTCGGACAATAACACTGGACAGATAGGAAATGGACCTTTTGGCCTTCATGAACAATTCCCCCCTGCTGTATTTTAGCTATAGACCTTCTCAGAACGGCTATGTGACTTTAGGAACAAATGAGGACGGATGATCTTGCCTCCTCTACAACCTCCTTGCTTATCCTTGTAGGACTACCACAACAGCATCCGCGTAATCTCGACCATCTGACGAAAATAGTAATGGATCGCCGAATATGTAGACATACGATCCGCCACTCAACGTAATTGACGTCCCACTCTTCATTCTTAAAGTTAAGGGTTCGAGTGCGATGATTATAGTATCCTTATGCATTCTAACACCCTTGTTGAATTTCGAAACTGCGACGCCATCAACCTTTATATATCAGCCACTCTATACGTACTACAATTGCTTCATACAACTCACTCTATGTCTCTTTGATATCTCAGCTTTCAGCTCGTCCGTAGCAGATGTAAGTCGCTCGCTCCTATATTGTTCACCCCAGCGAAATACTACTGTTTCCACGGCATCCTCATCGAGTATTTGTTTTATCGTTGCAACCAGAGCGGCTTCAGGGTGGGAGAGCGTAAAGACTTGGCTCACAGGGTCAGCCATTGTGGTGTTGAGGGCGATACGCGAAGGCAGGAGTTTCCTGTATGAATATTCATTAGAGAGTACTATTCCTTTGCTTATATTCCATATCAAAACTTACCTATCGGTATAGCTTGAGCCTTGGAAAATCTTCTGGCTGTGAGGGGTTTCAGCGGGGCCTAACCTTTGGGCTCTGTCCTGCTGCCACGTGATGCGCGATCATTGTCAAGAAGACTAGTCCTAGATAGAACTAGCGACCGTATATCTCTCATATTACGCAGATTAGTTTATTAATAGAGCATCTTTTCCAAAATTCCTATCCCGGGTAAGAACTGATTTAATATTGGTCCCCGAAGTAGATTCGAGTCGCGAGTGATCTAGAGCTCGGATAGGAGAGCTCTTCTGCTCTGTTGTCGAATTATGCCCAACATACGGGCCGACGTCTCGACTTTAGAATGTGTCGGCCCCAGGCGTCAACAGTCACGATGGAGCGGCTGACGGGGAGTTTAATCCCAATCAGTATTAGTGCTCGCCAAGGTTCCGTTAAGCGGGGTAAGCAAGGTGGCATGTTCTGGCAAACACACTGCTTTGGTCTCTCCTACCTATCTTGGCGGAAGTAGGATACAGTTTTCGCTATCATCACAGGATTAGACGCTTCTCAGGCTGCCTTCCTGAATTTGGTCAGAATAAGACAGTTTTTCCGCAAGCATAACAAACAGCTAGATAGACACGTCCAATGATGATCCACCTCTCGGTGATCCGTCTTCAACCCTTTCATCAAGAGGCGACAACACTGCATTGGCGCCGCTCATTCCCTCATCTGACTTGGAGTGTACACCATATGCTGCTGTTTTACGGCGGACAGGGCCAGAGCACGATTTCAAGGTGATCCGTTGTACTCTGTGTAGTGAGATTGCGCCGAAGAATTTTGGAGCAATAGCCCACGGAACGCGGATTAAGAATTATAATCTCTTCAATGATACGATGGAATGTGTACTGCAACGAGTCACATCAACAGAGAAACAGGAATAAAGTTTGACCACTCCGCGTCTCCGTAGGCTGTATAAAGGAATCAAAAGCGCTCAAGCCTCCGAAAATGTACATATATACTGCTTGTTCCCTCAAGTCCCAATCCATCACCACTGCGCCTCCAAACCACCACGCCAATACGATTGCCTTCATCTCTTGTCCCCAGCGTCCACCGCTTCTTACCTTTTTATCAAGTGAGTCGATCATCGCTAGGATAAAGTCGTTCTGGCTAACATAGATCATATGGAAAGATCATGTGTCAGGAGCTTATTGAGACAATCGAGCATCTATGCCGGCATAGAGTTGATTCCCCTGGAAAAATCCGAGAACTTGATGGATGCAATAATTGCGGTACCATCCAGAAAACACAGCACCTCGGCAAGACAACCAGAAAGGACCCATGCCCCGACTGTATCGCCAATGGTACTTATGTGAATAGAGATGGAAGTTGGAAAAAGGCCTAGTGGATCTTGCGAGGTTGACAAGTCACGGCCCAGAATTTCGGAGATCTAATCTGCTATTCTGTACGCTTGCCTTGAATGTATGTCGTAATAACATTTGGAATCCGCATCTTGAATCCGAATAGTGGCCACGTAGTGGATGTTTTATATTCCGGATGATTATGAAGTGTACATAAGTAGTAGAGTTTGCTTCTACGCGAGGGTTCTGCCGGTAGCCTGAAAATTAAGGCAACATAAGGTGCTCCTTGCGCCAAGAAGGCTGGGGCCTCGTGGTGCTTCCCCCAGGCCTCCTTTCCACTCTTTGCTCGCCCTTTCTTCCAACGTAGAACACTTGCTTCTGCTCTTATTCCTTAAACCATCTCCTAACTCATCGCATTTCATTCTTGACTTATCATGGATGTTCAACGCCAATTTCCTAACGTGCATTGGATCTGGGGAGGAGGTATCTCCTTCGTCTACGAAGTCCACCCACTTATCGTGGTCAAGGTCCCAAAGTCTGGAGAGTATGAAAGAAAGCAATTCCGTAAAGAGCTCGAGATATATCGAGTATTTTCGCAAAATCGCGCTTGCTCAACTATTGTCCAGTGCTTTTCCTTTTCAGACAACGGCATCTTCCTCGAGTATATGAGAGGTAAGACCTTATTAGCATTCAATACTCTCGTCCTGCTAATAAACTTAATAGATATGTCGCTTTCTTCTAGAATACAGAATAATCATATTCGAGATCGGCAAACTATGGTGGTTACAAAGGTGGAAAAGTTAGAACCTCTTCCCCTGCGAAAGGAATGGATGAATGATCTCGCCCAAGCTGTTGCGTTCTTGGAATCACTTAACCTCGCTCATGGTGATTTACGACCTGAAAATATCCTACTTGATCGAAACCGACTGAAGCTATCTGACTTTGATTGCACGGCAGAGATTGGATCAAAGTACGAAGCTTGCATGGCTCCCTATGGCAGAATACTCAATAGTAACGAAACGGACCAGGGAGAAAGTGGGACTTTCGGCTTCTTAGGCCCTCGGACAGAGCAGTTTGCCCTTGGTTCCTTGTACTACCTCATAAACTATGGCTTTGAAGTTTATGGAGACCGATGTCTTACGGAGGACCCTTACGAGCATGGGCCCAAGGTTGTGGACTTGCTACAGAACATGGAGTTTCCAGAATTGGATGGCAATCCACTGATCGACAATATCATCAACAGGTGCTGGCATAATGATTATGTTACTGTTTCAGAATTGGCTGCACATACAGAAACGCTTCTGAACGAAAGTATTGATGCGGCAGGATATAACGGAGTGGGTCGCGCAGAGAAAAGAAGCACAGAGGAAGCGATACTCTCAGTCAAAGTCAATTCTATTATACAATGGGGCATGAGAATAGGTCGCATGATTAATGGGCTGTGGTGTGGCCTTGGGGACTGGGCGGGATTTTTCTTACGGAGCACCAACGAGGTAACAACCACCGGAGGAGGTAGTGACAACAGCGGTTACAAGGTAGACCAAGACCGCTTAGAGGATTTTACTTCCAAAAAGGCATTCTGTCAGGAGCTGGAGAAACGTGGACTTCTTAGCGGACTTTGTTCGGGCGAGCCTGAGCAGATTGGATTCACATTTGATTGGTATAGACACAGTCTTTGATATTTGCATTAAACAAGGCATTATAACAGTGGCGAATGGGGAAATGAGCTTAGCAGACTGGATTCGATAATCCAAATATGTTCAGATAAGGTCTGTTGCTTATATTCCAAGGACCAATCGAGTTTCGTGGATATTGGGAGTTTCGTGGATATTGGGAATCGAGCTGCGATAAGCCAGGAGGTCCAGAAACCTTCAATGCAGGGAAATTGAAGAGGTATTCGATTGGAGGGGAAGTTCGGAAATCACTTCAAGGATGTTGGTCGAGTAATCTAAAGTTTATAGCCCAAGAAAACTTCTCCTGGTCAGCGGGCAGGAGTGGTTGCTTTCCATGAGACGGCACTCTTTTCCTCAACGTGCTAGTCGTAGGCGGCCGAGCTAGCTCCTCTGTGGATGTGTCTGAGCCAGAATACCCACACTCCGACAGGTGCATTGTTATAAAGTACGGCATTCCTAAATTCCTGGGGTGTATGCATTGCACGGGCAGCGGCGTCTGGGATAGCTATAGCTTCGTCAGGGGCTTCGGTACAGATTTTAGCCTAAGTTATACAAAACCGTGTAAGTATGCCGGCTATCATTCTAAAGACCAGGTATAGTTACCTTGAGCGGAGCTGGAATCAGCTTAAGGCCGAAATCGAGGCCCAGAGCCTGCCAACGAACAGAGTCAGGAAGTGGTACGGACTTTGATCGGGTGCAGTGAATGGATGGGCTTGACACAGGGAGCTCGTTGATTAGGTCTCGTACTGGGCTTCGTTGTCGTGAGGTTCCAGATGAACTCTTGAATAGAAGGGTCAAACTTGGTGCGATCAGAAAGGCCAGTGACCGAGCTAGTTGTGTCGTCATTAAGCCTGCGTTTTCGAGAAGTCGACGTTTCCCTGTGCGACATCTTTCGCCGTTTTGTTCGATGGCTCCTATCGAGGTTGGGTGGTGGAGTTGAGGGAGGGGTTGAATTCTGTTTTTGTTCCAAACCCCGGCTGAGCCAGGGGTCGTTATCTTTCCGCTTCATTCAAATCTCGTAGTACAAAACAAGCTTGTTGCAAATGTGGTTCGATGACAAGTGATCTCGCGTTTGTTGTCCTGCATGATCCCGTGGTTGAGGAAACTACGACGGGCAATCACGTGCTTATTGTTGTTGACGCCACAGTCACAGTCACAGCCACAGGCAGCCACATATGCCTGCGGCAAATTCTCGGGAAATGATCGGCTTTTCAGACAGACGGGGCACTAAGGGCAGTTCGCCTGCTCGTATAGTATATGCAATCGAATACTTCGTCTTAAGGTAGGAACAATCCACCAAGGCAATCTTATTCTCTATCAGAAGCACTTCCTTGTTGTCTAATTACTTCAGCTGTTGTCCTGATACAGCTCCCCGATCCTCGTTCTGAGGTAGAAACTACTCAACGCGAGAGGACTTCTCCCGGTCGGCTGGCCCAGTTGGTTGCTTTCCATGGGACAATACTCTTTTCCTTGACGGCCCGATAATTGGTGGCCGAGCAAGCTCGTCCGTGGATGTGTCCGACCCAAAGGATCCACGCTCGATGGTTGAAGGCTGGAGTTTCCCACTACGATCTTGACGGAATACGCCCGGCATCATCGCCGCAGTAGCGTTCGCCTTAAATATAAAGCTGTCGCGTTGTTCTTTGGCCCAATCCCGAGCGTTTCGGAAGGCCTGGACGCCTTGGCGAAAGACACCACATTCACCCTTCAGTGAGTAAGACTTCAACAGGGTCATCTGATAATCCGTCTCCCGGCCTGGGTGGGCGGACTTCACTGGATGCACTGTGTATAATTCCAATTGGCCGCAGTGGTAGAGAGAAGTGATAGTATAAGCATTATTGTCGTACAATGCCGCATTCCCAAATCTTTGGAGATCATGCATACCGCGCGCACCCAGTGCCCCATTATATAAGGCCTGCCGTTCACCCACTGCGTGAGAGCCATCCGGCCCCTTCCCCTCACAGAAGAAGTTGGGCGCGATAGGGAGGTGGTCTTGCGTTGAAGGGATAATAGAGGAGCCAAGGAGTTGACGAACAACCTTCTCACATTCCGCCGCCAGAGTGCCGTCGTAAAAGTCTGGCTTTGCAGAAACAATGCCTTCTGCGAGCGGGTCTAGATTTCCAAAGAGCTTCTCTTCTCCGAATGGTATGTCTGCCGAGCCTCGAATGATCGGAAAAACAGTGCTCATCACGGTTTTCTCACTCCGGGCATCATGGTCTTTTTGCACAAAATCATCAAAGGCATCCTCGTCCAGCCCAGAGATCGACTCTCTTCTTCTCTCCAGCCTGGCCATAATAGCATCCCGATTCCGCGGGCGCCGATCACGAAATCCCTGGTGATTCCGAGGGTATATTCCAACATCAACAAGCGCTTGTTGGAAGTTGGCATCATACGCTGATGACCACTTTTCGGACGCTGTGCGAAGAGAGGAATCGGGAGTATCAAGCTGCCTGGGTGTTCGATTCGAGTGGGATCTCGATCGGCCCGTAGTTGACCGACCTCTTGATTTCGAACGAGCTCTTCGCGCCATAGGGTGTGGATACTATAGATGTTAGACAGACTCAGCCCATTAGCAAAGACACTTACCCCAGTCAGATCACGGAGATCAGGGCCTCCAAGTCGAGACAGGCGTTTCAGACGAGCAACTTCATCCGGCGAGAAGTGTTTTAGACGAGCAACTTCATTCAAAGAGGGCCGGCGGGGTTGAAACTGGACTGTGCGGGTGGGAGGAGGACTAGAATCCGAGAACCGTCTATTCAGTTCAATCAGTGCGCGCTTGGTGAGCTTAACCTCCGAGAGACGATCCCAAAACGTGGGCCGATGGTGAGTTCCGGATCTGGTGTCTGCCCTTGAGCGTTTCTGTGGTCGTAAAAGCCAGTCTTTCTCTGCAAACAAGTCTTCCGTGTGAGTCCGTTTGTCTCCAGGGCGCGGATTGGGTCCGTCGGATACGTGCATAAGCCGGAGACGAGGAAGCCGCTGCAAGCCCGAGCTGCGATGAGGATGGACTCTCAAGATAATAGATTTCCTTGAGTCTCATGGTCTAATCTGATTGGAGAAGAACTCGGGCGCCAACTGTCAAGAACGCAGAGGACTCCTCAGAATTTTGCGAGAAGTCGCCTTTTGGGCCGCCGCGCAGGTCGAGTTTGACCAGGTCGAATTCGACTAGCCAAAAATGACCTCTCATCACGTGCCACTTACTGCAAATACAACAAACAGCTCAGCCTCAATTTGAGCGATGCGCGCCCCGGCATGTCCACCCGATCCACCCGAGCTGTACCAGTGTGAACTGGAATGTCTATCAGGTTTATCTCAGACAAACTCCAAAGAATAGTTTAGTGGTCCCGCTGAGCGGCTCTTTGATTTCTGTGGAGCTCTGATCTCACATCTTGCTGGCTCCTTTGCTCCAACTGTCAAGAACGCAGACGATTCTTACTTTCTCGAGAGGTTGTGCTTGGGCCGCTGCGCGCAGGTCTCGTGATCTGACCTGGTCGGATCCGACTAGCCAAAAGTGGCCTTCGCAGCACGTGCTGAATACGATATTGCGTTGAGAAGTAGGTTATAGATTGTGACATGGCACTGGAGCGTTGAATTCTTTACAGGATACGGAACTGCGACATGGCTTTCGCCCATAGACAACTATGACTGGCTGTTAGGCTGACTAAATCAACTTCGGCTTCTCCAGGCGGTCGAAGACATTTTCTCCACCCTTTGACGTCAAATTATTTAGTTGTTCTGGCTAAGCGCTGGTCTTATTATTTGTCCCATCCAAATGAGGCGCTTCTCGTGGGTATGGCCTTTTTAGACAGCCTCCTGCACACCAAGCGTCACTCCAGGCTTTCATTGGCTCAGGCATCGTTGATTAGCACGCTTTAGCCGCTGCCCTGCCTAATTTTTGACCACTGGTGTGACGGCTTGTCCAACCACAGCGCGTTTTCCCCGCAGTGAGTAGGAAGGTAAGATTAGGCAGCGGCTCGACCACGCCAGGCATCTGAGATGGGTTAATTTAAGGCTGAACGCTGGCCAGATCATCATGGTTGAAATCCCCTCTGCCATCCTCAGAAGGCGGAGATAGCTATTCTAAATCGATTTTTATTTTTCTTCACTTAACTGCTTTTGGACAGTCTTCCTTGCCCAAGATGGAAAGCGCTGCACAAGTCGTTATGGTAATTTTGCTGCTTGGGTTGGGGTTTATTATAATTCGCTCGAGCGCCAGGCGGAGATCACTCTTTACCCCAGAGACACCGCGCAGCAAAAGTTCTCCGGAGCAAGAGATCGAGATTGACCAAAATTCGCAATTCTCGCCGGTCCCTGCAAGTACCGACCCTCCTATTGCAGAGCACAACGGTTCCCCCTCCCCCTTCAACCAGTCTACACCATTTGCGCCCCAGCAAGCGATCCTTCCTGCCAAGAAATCTACGGATTACACTGTCGGCTGGATCTGCGCCATAGTAACAGAATACGCAGCAGCGCAAGAATTTCTTGATGAAGAGCATGAGGCACCAGACTTTGTGTCGCCGGGCGACACTAATCATTACACATTGGGCAGAATTGGGGAACATAACGTCGTTATCGCTGTCTTACCTGATGGAGAATACGGAACTGCTGCCGCGGCCATGGTAGCCACGAATATGCAGAATAGCTTCCCCAACGTTCGAATCGGGTTACTGGTTGGCATCGGTGGCGGTGTCCCAAGCGAGAGGCATGACGTTCGCCTGGGCGATGTTGTGGTCAGTGCACCCCGCGATGGTAAAGGTGGCGTGTTCCAGTATGATTTTGGCAAGACAATGCAGGGTCGTTCCTTCCAACACACTCGGTTTCTCAATCAGCCTCCGATAGCTCTTCGTACTGCACTGACAGGACTACAAGCACGATACAAGAGAAGGGGTCACTGTATTGAGAGCACAATCAATGGCATTTTAAACCGGAACCCAGGGCTTCGACAAGAGTACGGGCGGCCGCCGGGAAATGCTGATACCCTGTTCAGAGCAGAAGTGATCCATGATCCAAAGGGATGTGCAGAATTCTGCGCTAGTAATCCATCGAATATCATCCAGCGGCGCGCGCGAACTACGAACGAACCGAACCCAGCTATTCACTATGGGCTCATTGCTTCCGCAAATCAAGTGATGAAGGATGCATTGGTGCGCGATCAGCTGGCAGCTGAGAATGACATCCTCTGTTTTGAAATGGAGGCTGCGGGGTTGATGGATCAGTTTCCTTGCCTTGTTATTCGCGGCATATGTGACTATTCGGACTCGCATAAGAATAAGGAGTGGCAAGGCTTTGCAGCGATGACAGCGGCTGCGTATGCGAGAGATATGATCTGCCAGATTCGTCCAAGTTTGGTTGAGGCTGAGAAGAAGCTCGGTGAAATTCTACTTGGTATTTAAGTCTTAAATAATAATAATGTTAATATATGTTAATCCTGTCTCTAGGCCTCCATGATACTGTCAAAGAGAACCAGGACTTAGCAAAGCAGACCCTGGACAATGCAGAGAAGCAACTCAAAGCCCAGAATGATTTCGCCAAGGAAAGGTTGTCCGACAAAGAAGAAAAGTGTCACCAGCTGTTCCGCCTCACTAGTAACAGCGGGGATGATGCCACATATGAGTGGTATAAAAATCGAGTGGAGGAGAGGGTTGACAACACGTGCATATGGTTCCTCCAGCAGAAGAAATTCCAGGAGTGGTTGCAAGCTGAGTCTGGCCCCCTGCTAGTCTCAGCGGATCCTGGCTGTGGAAAGTCAGTGCTGGCCCGGTACCTGATTGACAGTTACCTACCGCGATCGGCAACAATCTGCTACTTCTTCTTTAAAGACAAAGTTCAAGATAAAGTCCGGCAAGCACTTTGCGCGTTGCTTCATCAACTCTTCTCTCAGAGGCCGTATCTGATCAAACATGCCATGCCAGAGTACAGCAAGGATGGGGAAGGTCTGATCAACTCGACAGAATCGCTGTGGAAGGTTCTACGAAACTCGATCGGAGACCCCCAGTCAGGACCAACAATCATGGTCCTTGATGCCCTAGACGAATGCAGTGAATTGGAGCTCCCAGACCTGACGCAGAATGTGGAGAGTCAATTCCGTGGCCGCCAGGGCAAGCTGAAGTATCTCCTAACATGCCGCCCATATGAGTCGATCGTATCTAGATTCGGCAGCTTGTTGCGTACCTTTCCGAAACTTCATATACCAGGAGAGGAAGAGTCGGAAACCATCAGTTGTGAAGTGAATCATGTCATCACGTACAGGGTCAATCAGCTGTCGCAGAAGAAGAATCTCTCGCCCGAAGTCGGGAGCCAACTAGAGAAAGGACTACGGAAGACTCCCCACCGTACTTATCTCTGGGTATACCTCGTGTTTAATTACTTGGAGGAAGAAGACTTCAAAAAAACAGCGAAAGGGGCTGAGTCTGCCTTAAAAACAATTCCAACAACTGTTAATGCGGCATACGAGCAAATCCTTAACAAGTCTAGGAACCGCTCGAAGGTTCGAAAGGTCTTGAGCATCATCTTGGCCGCGAGCCAGCCGCTGACTCTTCCGGAAATGAACATTGCTGTGAATGTAGAAGAAAGTTCGCAGTCTATTAATGACCTTGACTTGGAGGATGAAGAGTACTTCAAATCACGCCTCAGAACGTTATGCGGACTGTTCATCTCAATCTACCAGGGCAGGATTCATTTTCTCCACCAAACGGCTCGCGAGTTTCTTCTGGGAGACTTGGTATCATCCAATACTACTCTATTAGAGCAAGGTTGGTATCACTCCATTGCTATTACTCAGGCACATGAGATTCTTGCGACTGTCTGCGTGCGCTATCTCAACTTCTTCAATTGCGACACAACCATTTCAGCAAACGCAAATAAAGATAACAGCAACATCACTGGTAGCCATGACTTCCTACATTATTCAGCCAAAACCTGGACTACTCACTTCCGCGAGGCCAGTATCATTCCTGCCGCTACCATACTACCCTCTGCTCTAAGAATTTGTGACCCGGATTCGAGAAGCTACGCAGCATGGTTTGGGATCTTCTGGGAGACTACAAATTTTTCGAAGACCGAGCATTTTTCAAACCTTATGCTAGCATCGTACTGCGGGCATTATGCCATCGCCAGGGTTCTTCTCGAACAGGGTGCGGATGTGGAGTGCAAGGACACTGAGTATGGTCGAACACCTCTATCATGGGCTGCAGGACAGGGACATTAGGAGGTTGTCAAGCTTCTTATTCAGACTGGAAAGGTGGATGTGGATTTCAAGGACACTAAGTATGGTCGAACACCTCTATCATGGGCTGCAGGACAGGGACATGAGGAGGTTGTCAAGCTTCTTATCCAGACTGGAAAGGTGGATGTGGAGTGCAAGGACACTGAGTATGGTCAAACACCTCTATCATGGGCTGCAGGACAGGGACATGAGAAGGTTGTCAAGCTTCTTATCCAGACTGGAAAGGTGGATGTGGAGTGCAAGGACACTGAGTATGGTCGAACACCTCTATCATGGGCTGCAGGACAGGGACATGAGAAGGTTGTCAAGCTTCTTATCCAGACTGGAAAGGTGGATGTGGAGTGCAAGGACACTGAGTATGGTCGAACACCTCTATCATGGGCTGCAGGACAGGGACATGAGAAGGTTGTCAAGCTTCTTATCCAGACTGGAAAGGTGGATGTGGAGTGCAAGGACACTGAGTATGGTCGAACACCTCTATCATGGGCTGCAGGACAGGGACATGAGAAGGTTGTCAAGCTTCTTATCCAGACTGGAAAGGTGGATGTGGAGTGCAAGGACACTGAGTATGGTCGAACACCTCTATCATGGGCTGCAGGACGGGGACATGAGAAGGTTGTCAAGCTTCTTATCCAGACCGGAAAGGTGGATGTGGAGTGCAAGGACACTAAGTATGGTCAAACACCTCTATTATGGGCTGCACAATGGGGACGCGAGGAGGTTGTCAAGCTTCTTATTAAGACTGGAAAGGTGGATGTGGATTCTAAGTCTCAGTCTGGTCAAACACCTCTATCATGGGCTGCAGGACAGGGACGCGAGGAGGTTGTCAAGCTTCTTATCCAGACCGGAAAGGTGGATGTGGATTCCAAGGACACTAAGTATGGTCGAACACCTCTATCATGGGCTGCAGGACAGGGACATGAGGAGGTTGTCAAGCTTCTTATCCAGACTGGAAAGGTGGATGTGGAGTGCAAGGACACTGAGTATGGTCAAACACCTCTATCATGGGCTGCAGGACAGGGACATGAGAAGGTTGTCAAGCTTCTTATCCAGACCGGAAAGGTGGATGTGGAGTGCAAGGACACTAAGTATGGTCAAACACCTCTATTATGGGCTGCACAATGGGGACGCGAGGAGGTTGTCAAGCTTCTTATTAAGACTGGAAAGGTGGATGTGGATTCTAAGTCTCAGTCTGGTCAAACACCTCTATCATGGGCTGCAGGACAGGGACGCGAGGAGGTTGTCAAGCTTCTTATCCAGACCGGAAAGGTGGATGTGGATTCCAAGGACACTAAGTATGGTCGAACACCTCTATCATGGGCTGCAGGACAGGGACATGAGGAGGTTGTCAAGCTTCTTATCCAGACTGGAAAGGTGGATGTGGAGTGCAAGGACACTGAGTATGGTCAAACACCTCTATCATGGGCTGCAGGACAGGGACATGAGAAGGTTGTCAAGCTTCTTATCCAGACCGGAAAGGTGGATGTGGAGTGCAAGGACACTAAGTATGGTCAAACACCTCTATTATGGGCTGCAGAACAGGGACGCGAGGAGGTTGTCAAGCTTCTTATTCGGACCGGAGAGGTGGATGTGGATTCCAAGTCTCAGTTTGGTCGAACACCTCTATCATGGGCTGCAGAACAGGGACATGAGGAGGTTGTCAAGCTTCTTATTCAGACCGGAAAGGTGGATGTGGATTCCAAGTCTCAGTCTGGTCGAACACCTCTATCATGGGCTGCAGGACAGGGACATGAGGAGGTTGTCAAGCTGCTTCATCAGGCTGGAGGCAGAGTCACTTAGCAGGCCCTATCAGCCAATTGTTCATGGCGGCATTAGTACATTCGACACAATATGAATATATAATTGGAAAGTATAAATCGTGGTATGCATATTGATAGTCGGAATCGCACTGAAATCCAGACGGGGCAGCAGCGATACAACGTATGGGCCGACAGGGATAATGAGTGAATGCGTTGATGCATGCAGGTGACTTCGACTGTGTCAAGACTGTGATTGTCTAGGGTTTTCTATTCGCCACAGCGCGATGGAGAACAGGTCCAGCTTGGGAAGTGCCCGGCGGTAGCTTTTGGCAGAAATCCCAGGACACAACATGCCTCTGGTTCCATTGCAGGGGAAGGCCACAAAGATCGCAGAGCCACTAAATGTGGCGAGTGAATGTGGCTAGTTGGTCAGGGTACGGAAACTGGGAGACTCTACTTCCGATGGAAGTTTTGCGAGAAAAGGCCACGTCAGCTTCTCGGGCTTGGCGAGCGAATTTTAGAGGGCTTCAGGCCGTTCGGGTGAAGGACTGAAGGCAAAGCGGCGTGGGCGCTAAGCCCGACCAGTCCCGACCGGGCGCAAAAAACTGGGTGAACACGGACATACAACAGTAGGGATTCGCATGTGGTCACCCACCATACTACTAACCTACCGGCGTGTGGCTTAAGCGCGGACAGAAGTACGGTGGGTGCCGCTGGGTGAGCCGCTCACCCCTCGGGGGTGATCGAGTCGCGCGGGCCGGCGCCGATTCACTGGGTGCGCAATAGATGGGTGAGTCGCTCACCCGGAGGGGTGAGCGAGTCGCGCGAGAGGGGTGAGCCGCTCACCCTCGACCTGTGATCCGGCAGACCTTGAGCGGTGATTGGCCTTATAATCCACTCCCCAAACACCGGCGTCCTTGGCAGCCCCGCTAAGCCACTCCCACGGCGAGAAAATATTGCTGCCTAAAACGCCCAGATCATCAGGATGACTTGGTCCAATCACTTGAAAGGCATGATCTCCGCCGGAAGATCAATGTAAATCTCTTCCCCTCGAGGGTTCTTCTGTTTTTCCACCAATAATAGCACGTCAAATCCAACACCTGCTTTTGCACCCCATGCCTAGGTACCCCAACTCATCGGGGTTCGTGGAGACCGGCCAGGGTTTTGTGGGGAGTCTGAGCTTCACGGCTCCATTCCGGACTATGTACCGGAGGTCGTTTGTTGTCCCTTGTGGGCAGAAATCGATATTTAACTCCGTTACGGAATGATGATGTTTCCATCTGAACCTACTTACTCCCAGAGACGACACATAATCAAGAGTTACGGCGAATCAAGATGCATCTATATCGAGTAAGGCTCTACTAGTCGCACAATAAACACTTAATGGTCTAACTGTCAGTGTCTAGTTGACCCTTGTTGTGCTGGCGCCTTTGCTGGTCCAGGCCCTCGTCCGAGACGTACCAGGTCTCAATGGTAATTCGTTGCAGACCCATGAAGATCGCAGCTCCCTCTAATTAACACCATGCAGGACCCGTCCCATACGTCCCATGGACAGCCGGGCAGAAGAAAACACCATCTGAATTCGTGCACCCGGGCCTCTGGCACTCGCACCAGGATCTTGAAACAATGAGAACGGGCGTTCTGGAAGGGAAGGAACCCTGGAAGTCAGGCTACGAGGCCTTCGCGAATAGCTCATTCTCTCAAGCTGCGTACGAAATTCAAGGCCCGCACGCCGTAATTTCGCGCGGGTCTGTCAGTAACTACACCTCGTTTGCGAATGATGCGCGCGCTGCGTATCAGAATGCTATTATGTGTATGTCACACCCCTTTGCATCGTTCCGGTTGCTGTACCCAGGCACCCATGGCCGACTCTTTCTATGCTGCAGGGTATATAACCAAGGATGAAGCCTACTGGACCCGCTCAACAACAATCCTCGACGCATGGGGCACAAACCTTACTGATATAATCGGGACCGACCGGTCGCTCCTAATCGGGATCGAAGGAACACTCCTCGTCAACGCGGCCGAGATCATGCGGTGGGAAGGCGGATGGAAGGAGGCCGGCGCCGCATGGCAAGGCGGAAAGGGCTTCAGCGTGCAGCTATACTGGCTGTTCCTGCGGCAGAGCATCATAATTGGGCAAGCTAACTATGGCATCGCATCCATCAAGGCGCTCCTCGATTTTGCGGTGTACCTGGAGGACGTGTCGGCGTACAACTACGCGATCTGGGCGTGGAAGAACGACCCGTGCGCCGGGATCGAAGCGACCATTAACAGCCGCACGGGCCAGAGTTCCGAATCCGGGCGCGACCAGGGACACGCGATGAACAGCCTCGGCTGGCTTGCCCTCGCGGCGCGCACGTCCAAGAACCAGGGACATGACCTATTCGGCTACGCGAATAATCTGCTCCTGCACGGCACGGAGTACGTGGCGAAATATAACCTTAACGAGTCGGTCCCGTATGACCCCACATTCCGCCGGTGCGAGTCGGTGTTGGTCGATGGGCCGTGGGAGGAGATCTCGAAGTTTAATCGCGGGGTCGTGCGCCAGTCTGATGGGACTGTCAAGAAGTCGCCGGCCGTGTGGGACTTGCTGTACTATACTTCTGAGGCGAAGGGGTTACGGAATCCGTGGACGACTCGGGCGAAGGACGCATATGATAAGGCAGGCGGAGAGGTTGTTACGGGGGGTGAGATGCCGGGATTCGGGGACTTACTCTGGGCGGCTGCGAAATAGGGTGCTAGGGCTTAGAAGAGGGTAGATAATCGTGTGGATAATCCTAGAAAGAGACACTGCCTTTGAAAGGACACGGGGGATAATTTTCCTCTATCCCTCTCAACCATACCGCGAGACCTTGATCTGGATACTACAAACAAGATATATATGTATATATAGAGAGAGAGAGGAGAAGTTACTCAAGAGTAAGATCCTGTAGCGCGGTCATTAATCTATAAGTCTACTTTTGATATCTTAGTTTAATTATACTCGCGCCTCCCCTAGAGTGGCTAAAGCGAGTGCGTCTCTATTGACGGGGCATTATCTATAGGAGGACTAGTCTTGGTGAGTCTCATTAGTCTAATTAGGGAGGACCCTGGTGTCCAGGTTAATGGGACACTCCTATTTACCTGTTAAGCGCTTTTATCTACCACCTCTAAGAGGCCTGTAGAGCTGATATGAAGCTATTCCGAAAACCCTACCTAATAGAGCTGCCATGAGATTATTTATAGTAGCCTTCTAACCCTTCCTCCTAAGATGAATCCAGCCCCAAAGCTAAGAAGAGGGTTTAAGTCATAAGTGCTATCGTAATTTATATATAAAAGTAAACATGATGACCTTAAACCACCTATTGAATTTAATAGGAATAACTAATAGTAAGAAAGATTTATTCACTAAGTTTTCTGCCGCTGATAGGGGGGATGCCCCGTTAACTCGGACACCGGGGTCATTCCTAGTTAGGACAAGAATGACTCAGCGAGGCTGGTCCTACTATATTTAATGCCCCGTCAACGTCTAGACGTGCCCTACCAATAGAGACGCACTCGGCTAAAGTGTAGTTACTCACGCCACAAATACGGTGTTCAAAGAGGAAAAAAAGAATACCAGATGGATGGTAAAAGACCCAAAGCGACCAAGCCCACTCATATTAACCTACTACTATTTACCACGGTTCGAATCCTGTTACAAATCCAGCTACGATGCTTCTTTTTCAAGCACCGACTGTCCAACCATCATCTTTTCGCGGACCGCGAGGTCGAGTCTCTACTCGAACAAGGCAAACCCCACAAGCTCCGGCGCAAAGCCGCTCATGCCATTTACAGCGCGGAACTCCACCGTATTGTTGCCCTCTACGAATCCTTCAACCTCAATGGCCAGCCGTCCCGTGTCGAACCAGCTCCCACCGGAAATTGGAAGTGCCCAGCGCTTGGCAGGGCCTGAGTTGACGGAGACAGTGACATTGCGGGTGCTCGTGCCCTGCGGCCGCTTCCACGACGATTCCCAGGCGATGTCGTAGTTGATGTAATCCAGGAGGAGAGTCTTCGTCCCGCCGCTCGTGGCAAAGACATCCTCGAACGCGACTGCGGCGTTTTCGGGCCCGCTGCCGATGTTCGTGACCTTGGACCCCGCGGGGAGACACAGCCCGCGCGGGCACTCGACCACCGATGCGTTCCCGGAAAGTGCCGCCTCGTCCCCGAGATAGTACGTCGAGCCCTGTTCATCCTCGTGTGCGTAGACGATATCCGAGAGGACCAGGAGCCTCATTTCGTGGCCCTCCAGACGCGTGCGATACCTCCCAGACAGACGGCCAACGCTGTGGTGAGCCCAGACGTCGCGCGCCCGCGCGGCCGTGATCCCCAGAACACGTTCCAGGTCGACGCTCGCCGTGTTCGTGGTGTTGAGCCAATTCGCGACGCCGAGGACCATGCGACCCCCCGAGAGCGGGCCCGCATAGACGTCGTACCCTTCCTCACTGAACCGGCGGACCAGCTCCGCGGATTTACCGAGCGGGTCCTGGTTGATCGCAATCACCTCCTGGTTCGCGATGGCTGCAAAGGAGCTCTTGGGGATCGGCAGGGAGATCGAGTTACCGAGGAGCAAGGGTGACTTGAAGATCGACCAGAGGCTGAAGTGCATTCGCTCCTCCTGTTCCGACAGCACGCCCAGTCCGACGCTGTTGCATTGTAAGAATTCATTCTCGTCCGATGGCGCGGTGGCGGAATATAATTGGATGTAGGCAGGCGGGCAGGTAGGCCAGTGGGAAGAGGGATGAGGGATGAAGGTCGCTGGGCCGCTGGGCTGGGACTTACATGAGCATGTCCAGGTCCGGATACGCGCCCGGCTCGACATATTTGGCGTATGCGATAGCCTGGTTCGTAATTCTCCACACACTCCCCCAGTTAGGGTAGATATCCACGCTGATGCGATACGAGTTGGCCATTGAAGCGCCCCTGGAAGTGCCCTGGGTTAGCAAAGCGAACCCCGACCCGGAATGCAAGCCGGAGTGCCGACAAACGGAATAAAATCCAAAGACAAGAGAAAAAGAAAAGACTGCCTCAGCTTGTCTTCACTCGGTGCCTTACCAGCTGCCCACGTCCCGGCCAACGCCCCACTGACAAAGTTGGTAGAGGACATCTCGATCCACTTCGGAGAGAGCTTTTGCCATGGTGCGGAATCGCTCGGGTGAGCCGGAGACCTCAGAGTAGAAGTCGGCTCCGACTGTGGGGCCTGTGCCGTTGACGTAGCAGTTGTCGTATCTAGAAGTTGCAGCGAGGTCAGCCTTTCATGTCTCTTGTCGGGGAAACACCGCTGGGGCTTACTTTAATGCGTCAACACCCCAACTCGCAAAGGCTTTGGCGTCGGCTTCCTCATGTCCTGTCCATGTCAAAACCGTGTTAATAGAGGCAGGTTTCAACCGCGTGCCTGTACCAGGATTGAAGGTATAGAGGGAAGAAGCCTACCAAGGGAACCGGGGTACTTATTTAACCCACCGCACTGCCAATACCCGGCACCAGAGTACAACCCAAACTTAAGGCCAAGCGCGTGAACCCTCTTCGAGAGGCCCTCACCGCCGCCAGGGAACCGAGTCATGTTCCACTCGAGCGCACCGGTTACGTCGCTTCTCTCCCCGTTGAACCACCCGCAGTCCGGGGAGACATACTCGTACCCCAATTTAGCCAGCCCAGTCTCGACCAGGGCCTTCGCGTTATCGACAATAATATCCTCAGTGATATCACAGACGTAGGCGTTGTAGCTGTTCCAACCCATCTGTGGGGTTGAGGTCTTCACCGTGCGCGTGAGGGCTGTGGGTGCGAGGGCAAGCACGAGGAGGCCTGCCGCGCAGGTAGTCGGACTAAACCCGCGCATAATTCAGATGATAATGTGTTTATTCCTCTCCGGTGATATTTGGGCGATATTCTTAGAAAATCTTCTAATGTGCTGCCGGCAGGGCAGGCCCTTTTATATGCTGTTTGAAATTCGGACTCACGCTGTATAGTCCATGCTATCCTTCCAAACATAGTTCCGGGCTAAGTGCCGGTGTAGGCTCCGGCTTTCTCCACAATTTGAGCGGAACACGAACTCCACAACCCCACGCGGGGTCAGCTTTGTTCCGTCGCAGAGTTTCATTAATGATTTGCGCCGGGGCTTACCCCGGTCTCTGTGATGTTAGAGGAACGATAATGAATGACCGTCACTTAGGAAGCTAGTCACGTGAGACTGTGTAATGGCAATTGTCGCTGCTGATCGAACCGACAGTGTGTGTGTCATTGCTCTCATGGTGCAATATCGGCCATGTCAAGGTGCAATGCCGGTCGTCAAAGCGATACAGTGAGGTGAAGTCCAACGTAAACGGCTCAGATACCCTGTCATCTTTCCCAATACGAGGCATTTGAAACCTGTAGTAAAAACGTCGGAGAATGTCGAGGCGATATAATACTAGCTTCTAGGTGAAGCCCATCATTCTGTGTCTGTCCCATCAGAACTGAATTCTGACCCTTACTTCAAACTCGTCAGATAAGTAGGTCTCGCGGGTTCGAATAGGTAGCATATCCGGGTGCCGTCGTACCTCAGCCATGAAATTCCAGACCGAGGCCCATGGTTCTATCTTATTAACAGTGTTCATTGTAACCGACAACATGCAATTATAATAGCTCTACCAAGAAACAGGAACACTAGTTCTTTAGTTCTGACATGCAGTGTCATGTCCTGGGAGGATTTCCGAGCTGGTGGCCGGGTGGGTTAACAGCGAAGATCGACGGTGCACGGGTACATCGGGATATGCCAACGGTGGAACCACAGGATTTGGAATCGAAATACCGACATCTGTCTCAGGAATCAGTGTCCAGGTTACTGTAGACCGGTTATTGAAACAGGTTTAGGTTGAGGGGGAACAGTACATTGAAGAAAGGGATACCCCGCGCGACCCCGGGAGGGATGTATATAACAACTGCCGAGGGAAGGTGCTTCCTTCATGCCGCAGCTGCGTCGCTCCAAGCTGTGATAAATGGTATCCTCTTTCGGTCTCTGAGAGATTCCCTCGTACCTCCCCATTTCGCCTAGCAACAATGGAGGACTCATCATCAACAACACTCATCTTCGTCCTCAGTGCCTGGCACCGCCCGGAATGCTACACAAAAGTCCTTCCACCCCTCGAAGCCTTGGACTACAAGACCGCCCTCGTGTCTCTCCCATCAGTCGATCCCTCGCCACCACCACCACCTCCACAGACAGGCAAGGAAGCAAATCCAGACTCCATGTTCTCCGGCGAAGTCCTCGCAATCCGCTCATCAATCCTCTCCGCCATATCCACCAACCAAAAAGTCATACTATTGTGCAATCACACGGCGGTCTCCCAGGAAGCGAAGCAGTCCGCGACCCGACTACGCCACCCGCCAAAAGAATAACCTCCCCGGCGGCGTAACACACCTCTACGTGTGCGCATTCCCCGTGAGCATCGGCCAGAGCCTTTTTAGCGCTGTTAGCGAGACCGATCTCCCCTAGTGGGATGTTGCAAGTGACCGACGGACGGTCACGCGGCTGACGCCGGAAGAGGTCTTTCATAATGATATGCCTCCGGCGGAAGTGTCGGCTGCGGTGGAGAAGCTAAGACTGCACGCTTATGCGCTGCTGCATAGTGTGGTGAGTTATGAGACTTGGAGGGGTGTGCCGACGATTTATATGTATTGTTTGAGGGATAATGCGATTGATATTGGAGTGCAGAGGATGCTTGTTGAGAAGGTTGCGTGTGGGGCAGGGGTGGATATCAAGACCGAGACGTTGGATTCGGGACATAGTCCGTTCTATTCGATGCCTGGGGAGCTTGTTAGGGTTACACCCTCAGCTACGGGTTATGGAGACAATTAATCCAAGCCCCCAGCCACCATGGCAAACACCAGCCTTCACTAAGACTAACATAGAGCCAGATCAAGAAAAGGCCAAGGCAACACCTCAGTAACACTAAACAGAGCAGAGATGGCCATCTTCTCTAATACATCCAGCATAACAAACTAGGCGCTGCGGCAGTAGCGCTCGGTTAGAACCACCAGATCCTACAGTCCCAGCAGATCTGTATCAGGTCAATGGAACATTGGTCAGTATACACCGCAGGGCTCATGGCAATCTACTATGCTATCAGCCTGGCATTTTTAATAACCATGAAAAAATAAAACCCCCAAGTGACAGAACTCGGAACAATAGCCATTCTTAGTAATAGCATGTCAGCGCTACAAGCCATAGGAAACACGCGAAACAAGTTCGGCCAGTAGATTATCCAGGCTATTACCCAGTTAGCCACATAACTAAAGGCGCGTGGAATCTCCCTCCATCTCCAATAGATCTCAGGCCACTGCGGTGACCCCGGAAACAAAGCAGCCAACCGCTTAGCCAAAGAAGTAGTTAGACTACAGATAAAGCACTCTTTTCAATATCTTCTATCACAGGAAAGGGGTCGTATCCATAACAAAATCCGGAAGGAATAAAAAAAAAGGGTGGAAGAACTCTTAAAAGGGTGGCCATCTCTAGCGCATAGACAAGGGCCTACCCTCTATACGCACCTGGAGAATGTATGGCTCGCTGCCTCAAAATCAAGCTTACTTGCTCACTTACCTCTAAATCAGCCACTCATGGCTCGCGACACATGGAAAACTACACAGCTTCAGAGAGGACAATAAGTGCGAATGTGGTGCATGAGAGACCGTAGTTTATGTTCTTGTAAACTGCCTAAACCTAAAGGGCCTTCAACATAAACTACAAAAGAAAATTAGTACGGCGTTTAATAATATCCCGGACATGCTTGGAGGATGGAACCCAAGGTAAGGAAGGTAAGAGGGATAATATACAAGACAGTAGCATCTTAGATGCAATACTCAGGCATCAAAGAGGTTTTAGAGCCGCGCGCCACAAGACCGCTAAACAAAATACCAGGCAGGAAGGCCACCATAGGCCGTGACAAGGCTCCAAAATCGTCGGAAGGTAACGGTTCAATATACATAGACAAGCATAGGGACTAGATAGTGGTGACCTGCATATCGCCCAATCGAGGGGCCAGCGTATGAAACACACACACACACACACACACACAGAGTAATATTCTCTGTAGAAAGGTGATGCATCGTAGAACTCAACTTCTTGGTGTTTTTGCAACAGATATCGGCAACCACGCGGTTGTCGTCATTATCCTGTGAACGACCATTTATTGAAGCACCAAGGACTCATCGACTAGTGGCCTGCTCTTGGTCAGACCTTGGTTGAAAGCATGCCCAACAGCTAGAGAGGTGCGACTCTTCATGGTCTATGCGCTTCGCTTGGTTAGTGCTAGTCATCAGTGTTGAACATGCGGAAACCTCGAAAATCGGAACCTCGCCGTGGACCGTTACACTGGTGCACCCCTGAATTATTCAGGCACAGGTTCTTAGCACATGAAAATATAAAATTACTATATAAAGGTCCTAAACGACCGGATAATTTGAGTGAGCAAGAGCTCTTGGCCGCAGAGTACCAATCTCGGAAGCCATGATAGCGTCCGGAAGAGCCGATGGTCGAACGGCGCAGATTGATGTCCCATCAGAAGAGCTGCCTCCTGCAGGAGGCAACTCCAGCTAAATGCCGGCACCTCGACATGGTGCTGGAGTCTAGTAGTTGAGTGATGGATCCAATGAATGAAGCTAAAGCCAGAACCTGTTTTGATAGAATTGTTTTTGCTCCCGCGTTTGAGCTTTGCCCTGAAGCAGATACTGTACAGCGGATAGAGCTGTAGATTGTGCAATTGCGGATGCATATCACCGAGCCGCAGTTTATACTACCCTTGGATCAGGTCTCTGCTTTCTGCCCCTACCGCTGTAGGTAATAGAAAAAGGTCCATTATCGTAGCACCGGCACGTGTCGCAGCCTGTGATGGCCAGAGGGACCTTTGTAATTTAGCCTTGACAGCAAGAATCTCAGATGTTGCTATGTACAGCATATCCGTCTCTAAGCTACATTTTCAGGCACAACGATACCATACCGTCGCTGATGCAGGCGCTGGGTATTCCCGAGCAATGGGCGAGCGATGCTCGCGGAGTGGATATGTTGAGCAACATATTGAGCAACCTCGGTCCGACCATTCCTTGCACATTGCAAGGAGATTAGCTCCCCAGATGGACCCGGTTCCGCAAGACTGAACAATCAACTAGTGTTCAACAATGGGAAGACAGGGTTGAAAAAGAAGAGGCTAACAAGCAAAGAAAGAACTGAGCACATCTTGATCAGCGTAGATACTCAACAGGATAGAGTCCACCAACGACCTACATGGCTAATCAGCGTAGGTAGATTGACCCACCTTCCGCAAATGCTGAACACTTGTCTAACCCCGCCTCCCTCCACCGGCCGAATATACCCCAAGCCCGTGACAGTCAGTGTTCAGCAGTCGTGGAATAAATCTAGTAGACAAACGCAACGCAACCGAATATAACACCGCCCGCAAACTTAGATTCTCAGCAGGAAACAGTCCACCCACAACCACATGGCTAATTAGTGCAGAGAAAGACCCACCTTCTCAAGTGCTGAACACTTGTCTCCTACCCCAGCCCCGCTTCTTCCGCTGGCTAGATCTACCCGACCCACCTCGGCCCCGTCACAGTCCGCTCAACACAGTCAAGTGCTGAACAGTCATCGAATAAACCAAGCGGACAAAGGCTATGCAATCAATGTAAGGCTATGGCGTCTGGAGAATATCTCACACTATGGATGTCCGCAACCGTCTTTGGTCAGCTTTCTGGTCCGGAGTGACACACGCTGGATGGAAAAGAAAAAAAAAGAACAGACCTTAGGAACTTACAGTGAATTAGAGGAAATACTGTTAGGACTAGTATTTGACTTATACATTGTAGTAATCAAGGCCTCACAGTTCAAGGGTGCACTTGGAAGATACCAAGACATGAAATAGAGCAACCTGCACAGTAACTGCTAGCTAGCCCCGAGCGCGGCCTTGGGCGGTATTGTGCACATCCCCGAGGTCAGTTTGATGAATGAATGGCCTGGACTCACAACTCTTAAACCTTTCCCTTCAGAGATCCGAAAAAGCCCACACCAATGTTCCATAAGATAGGAAATCCAAGACGTTTGATGCTGCGACTTGGAGAGGGCGCTTCTTCAGCAGCCACTCAGTCGTATACGGCATAGACAGTCCCTTTTGACCAACATAGTAGTTATAGGCGGCTTCTCCAATGGGCTTCACAATGCCGCGATCCTTGTCGGAAATCACCTTGTAGTTGACATTTCCACAGCAGCAGGGATGCCAGGTGTCATCAAAGGGAACATCGTACCCTAGATTGTACTTGAAGTAGTACTCAACAGCCAGGAGGATCAGCGGAGTCTCGTTTCCATCCTGGCTCTTGAGATCAAAAAGCTCAGTGTGGCCTATGTATCGAAATTAGGGACAGAACGCTGGGGGCGCAAGCCATCTGCAGGAACCAGAAATTGGAGATCCTCACCTTGATTCGCCGCGACGCGAGCTGCTTGCTCAATCCACCCAACTTCATCAGCAGCATGGCCCTGGTCACGCCCGGCCTCGGCATTTTGCCCGGTAACGGGATGCAGCAGCGCCTGCATACCACCGCCCTGGTCGCCGATGCAGCCTTCAAAAGGGTGCATGATGGTGTCAAGTTCCTCCTCAAAGCCCGTGCGGTTGTTCGTGAAGATCGCGAACGACATTCCTGCCATGTGGCTCAAGAACGCCTGGTTCCCGCCCGCCGCTGGCTGGTCGGGCGGTCGCGCGGCAGCATTCTTGACGGGCATGAGAAGGGTCTGGGCCATTTTCTGCACGCGCTTGAAGTTCTGCTCTCCACTTGGCCAACGCCCCCCATTGACATGCTTGACCAGCTCGATTCCATTGATGAACCCAAACCCAATCAGGCCGCCCACGAAATTCGACCCGGGGGTAACTTCCTCGAGAGTCGATGACCAGGCATCCACAATCTCGGTGACCTTGCTGGCATATGCAGGGTCCTTGCTTATCGCAAAATTCAGTGAGTTGAGGTGGACGGCGAGGACATCGGCTTCCCATTTCTTCGCGTTACTGTTGATCGTGGCGTTATCCGTATTGCCTATGATGGTAGCGGGGCCTCTCATGGTGTAGTTATAACTGGCGCGCGGATCACTTTTCAAGGCCTCGTAGGTGGACGCCCATGGCTCTTCGCCTGGAAGGTAGCTTCAGCAAAAGTAGAGAGGGTAAATTTCACGTGTAGCATTTCCCTTACCAGACAACGCGTTCGACCGAAAGGTCTCGGTTTGCTCAGCGCTATACATCAATCCCGGATGAATGAAGCGTCTCTGTTCCGAGACTCGATGCAACCCCGCGTGGGCGAGGGCTGCAAGAAGGAGACCACAGGTGATTCTGAGTGACAGCATTGAGAAGTGGCAATGATTATCTCAGGTCCTGGAGAAACATGAAGGCAGGTCAAAGGCAAGACAAGTGGACTCCTATACAGCAAACGTGCCACTGTCGCGATGACATTACCTGTGTGGGCGGAGCAATTGACGGAAGGGTTAATTGTACTAATCTTCAAAGACATGGGGCCACTCCTGTCATCAAGAAGCTGATTCCCAAGTTCAGCGTGCTTTGCCCGGAGTATGGAGCAACGTCCGGCCAGACCTCCATGCCTGGGAGTGAAAGCCATGTCGTCAGCTGGTTGGCTAAAGATAGTGTAATTACTCTACCCTTTCAGACCCCGCTCTTCGATCATTGTCGCGTGTGTCAAGCCATTTATTTTACGGGCGAATTCCCGGCACGCATCGTCGCACTTAACGAGGGTGGCCGCTCCGCATTTGCAAAGGGGGTTGGCAGGGGTGCTTGTGGGGTGAAGAACTATCTTCCGGCTTTCTCCACATTGTCTCCGCCTCAGGATGGAACAAAGTGGAACAAAATTACTCCAAGGACACATAATCTCTTTAGACCCTGCTTGGTGTATGACGTAACTAGCAGGGCTAGTTACATGGTAAACCTGGACAAAGTTGCGCCACGGAACATGTTTGAACCCGTCTCCACAAACAACAAACAAATCACAACAGGATGCCAATCATATAGGTTCGTTTCGAGTGCTACTTAAAAAGGCGTCGGGGCTGTGGCACATGGTGACCAAAAGCCATCGCCGGGGATGTCGGATGGAGCAATATGTCGAATGTTGGCAATTACAGGCAGCACGTCCGCGCGCAAGGCGGTCAGGCAGGTCCGGTCCTCCTTAAAGGTGTAGCATTTTATTATTTAAGAATGATGCCCTCGCCTTGCCCTCGCCGCAAGGTTCAAATATCTCTAATCCATCCTTTGCTCATTATCCACCAATCACAAGATGCTAATCATCCTGACTTTGGTCATGTGTGCGACCTTAGCTGCCGCAGGAGGCAGTTTAGCGCCTGCTGTGCAAATCAACCCCGGACTTTCCTGGCCTGTTCGGAACGGTCGGGTCCAGCATCTTCAGGCCCATGGCGCGGGGTTCTTTTACGAAGACGGCACGTATTACATGATCGGAGAGAATAAGACCACCGGTCCCATCTTCCAGTCAGTGTCGTGCTATCGGTCCAAGGATCTCTTGCATTGGGACTGGGTGAATGATCTCCTTACGGCCGATGCCACCATCCCAGACCTCGGGCCGGACCGTGTCATTGAGAGACCAAAGGTCATCTATAACAAAGCGACAGGAAAATATGTGCTGTGGATGCATGTCGAATCATCCAACTACTCATACGCGCGTGCAGGCGTTGCCTGGTCCGATTCCGTTTGTGGCACCTATACGTATGTGGGGAGCTATAGGCCTCTGGGCAAATATATCTCCCGCGATATGACTGCTTGGGTTGATGACGATGAGACAGGGTATCTGCTTGGAGAGGTAGGGCATAACCCCGCGCCGACAGCTCCTCGGCGACAATTCTGATCTACTCGATGACCAACTATACACAAAAATAGGATCGACCGACCGGCCTGGTTGTCTATAAGCTGTCGGATGACTATCTTTCCATTGACTCCTTGGTCTACAATACGATGGAGCACATCGAGTCACCAGCAATCTTCAAGGCCGACGGGGTCTATTACCTTCTTGGATCTCAACTTACAGGTAGGTCGACCCGAGGATCCATCTGGGGTGAAGCTAATCACTCTCTCCCAGGCTGGGCTCCCAATGACAATTACTATACCACGGCAGAAAGCTTGGAAGGGCCATGGAGCGGTAAGCACTCTCCGTGAAACAAATAAAAAAAAATTCAGGGTTTCTCCTTCTGACACGTCGATAGAGCTTCAGCTATTTGTACCGAGCGGGTCAAAGACATATAGCTCGCAGACCACGTTCGTGCTCAAGGTTGGCGACACGTACATCTATTGCGGCGATCGCTGGGATCCCGAAAATCTGGGCGGTCTGCAGGCATCAACATACGTCTGGCTACCACTAGAGCTTGACACGGCTGCACGGATGGTCAATGTCTCCTGGTATGACTCATGGACCCTTAATTCAATATCCGGTGCATGGGCAGCGAATCTGGCGCCGCCGTCAGTATACGAAGCCAATTCTCCGTCAAATACCTTGAGCAATGGCGCGTTCCTTACTGAAGATGACTACTTCCGCGCATTCGACGGCCCTGGGGTGATGAACATTGGTGGCCCCGACGGTGGGAGCTTGACCTTCCACGATATCACGATCACCGGTGACTTCCCCCAGATGCTCAAGATCAGATACCAGAACCTCGAGAAATATGTGCAATATGCATCGGTTAGTCTGAGAAGAAAGCGTGGCAGTGACCATAGCAGACAGGATGCTTACGCGGCTTTTTTACCGACATTGTCGACAAGGGGCAGAACAGTGCATACTGTGGCCTCAGTTCCTGGGCTTCGGCTGACCCCCGGCGTCTTTGACTTGACCATCAAGGGGCTTCCAGGCTACACGCATAATACAACGGCTGCTATTCACTCGATCCAGTTTGATTGAGTTGGTGGCAGGGCCTGGTTCATGTATCTACTCTTTGTCTTGTCAATGCGAGACCCACAAAGACAATGTCGGGATTTTCCTCACCTGTGATTGGTCGAAAGTAGGTTTCTCCTGTGGATATGTCAGCCGGGCCGTTGATCTATGGGGAGGATCTGAAGAAGTTGAGAGGTCTGTCATTCTGAATAACTGGGGAAACGGCACTATTTAAGCACAGGAATCGACTAAACTAAATAAGGAAATAGGGTCTATCTAATATTACTGCTCTAATCGCTGTATCTCGTGAGTCCTGAGAGGAATGTTTAATGGAATGGTGAGAGGAATGCTTGCGCGGGGTCTGGAGCCAGGGGCTCTGGCCGACACACCCCCTCAGTGGTTAGAGGTTCCTAATTAGGTCGCGATGAGGCTTGAGATATCAATCATATTTAATATCTTAACAAATTCTTAGTGTAGTGGTTTTAGGAGAGCCTTGGTAAGTCTATCCACAGGCATAGATCGTGAAGGAACCCAGGTGACTCGTAAGCAACGTTATTAAACCTCTTGACGTAGCCAGGCGCGGTGTACGTCAACGTGTTGTATCTTAGTGTGTATCATTGTCGTTTCTTTGCTTAATAAGTTGACTATTAAGCTGTTATTATAATATATTTCAAGGTCCTCCTCTAGGTTAAAATTAATATCCCTAAAAATCCTCTTCTACTAATACAATGACTTGGTGGCTTTAATTATTGATATATATTCTACTTTAGTGGTTAATAGAGATATAATGCATTATTTCTAGGATCTCTAGTTAATTAGTCCTCTATATAGTAAGTAGATGAACCCTCTGGTGCTCTTTTAATCATGTGCGTCGGCGAATGTAGTATTAGTAGTAGTAAGAAACACTTTACTAGCTTGTAGGCTTCCACTATATTCTAAGGCAAGGAACCGCGTGTTGTAGAGGTAAGTAATAACTTGATTAGCTACCCTGATATGTGTATTAGATGGATTAATAAGAAATCGTGATAGTACGCCATGTGTGTAAGCTATATCTGGTCAGGTATAGGTCGCGGCGTAGCCTATTAAGCTGACTTTCGACTAATATTTATATATTTAACTAGGAGAGGCTATTTCCTTATTAGGAACTAGCTTCTAAGTAGGGAGCAGTGTCATTAGCCACTATGCGAGGTCATTTAGGTGGTATCTCACGGTAATAGCTTTAATATATGAATCCTAGGAGAGCTAGATCTTCTTCTAGGGTTGGTCCCATGTCACGCGCATCTTAAGGAACTATTTTAACTCCCTTATATCCTTTAGTTCGTATTTCTCTTTGAGCGCTGTGGTAAATCAGGCAGCTATAGCGCGGCCTTCATACGTTAGAAGGTTAATGATTAGTATGTTGTTAATATATATAAGCACTAACATGAATTTGTTGGTAAAGAGGCATTCTTTATCTGGAATAGGTCGTAAGCCATGTACTTTAATGGTTATAGATAGATCTTCCTACTAGAGTTATGGTGACTTCCATAGCCCATATAGAGCTCTAAGGAGGTTCTAAACCTTTCTAGGAATACCATGCCCTGGTGGCATCCTTGTATATACTAGCTCATATAGTATAGTATTTAGGAATGCATTAATAGCATCTCATTACCTTAAATTAAGGTTATACATCACCATTAGAACCGTAATCATTCGAAGAACTCTAGCTGAAGTAGTTATAGCATGATTCTCCTCTTTACTACGTGGTTATAGGTCTCCGCGGACCACTAGGCGTGCCTTAGCTTTAATATAGTATCCATCCTCGTTGAATTTATACGTGAAAACCTATATTAGTGGAAGGATCTAGCGGTTTGTTATGAATCTAGCCAGGCGGTGTTGCAAGGCAGAATTAGGACGCGGGGACGACAGACCCGAAGGGACCAAGGTTGGTGGACCGGGACCCATCACAGACTAATGATCGCTAACTACGAACTACAAGAGACCACGATCCACTGGAGACCGCGATCTAGAGATAACAAGCTTGGACTAACCACGAACCCAGGACGTAAAAGCCTGCGAGGGTCACAAACTATGGCCCAAGAAAACGAGGTTCTAATTAAGTAGAATCTTAATTTACGTAGCTAATGCTAAAAGCAGCCGCACCCTAGCATGCTAACAAGTCACGTGAGTATACCATCAGGAAGACCATCTAATGGTAGGAAGATAGTAGGAGGTATAACAACGGCTTATTAGATATACCATCTATATACCATCTAATGGTAGGAGGATGGTAGGAAGTGAAGGACTGTCAGAGAGCCGCGCTAAGACACGGGATGCTGTCAGCCAATAGATTTGCCTAGTAAGATTACGGTATGACGGGATATCACGAGTCGACGTGATATCACGTCGATGCCGGAATGAAAGGTTAATCTGGCCGATCATATCGGACGATTTGACGCTACGACTAGATAGGGCTACGGTCATATCAGGGAGTTTGACAGAACATAGCGGGTGCTACGATGGGACATATCAAGCGATATAATAGACACTGTATTTAAGGACACTTGTTCACGTATGTAATTAGTTTTAGCTACTATCTATTACTTTCAGAATCAAAGCTACCCTACCTTTTAGAAACCTAGTTTACCTTCTTAGTTTGTTAAGAAGCAGTCTTCTCATATTAATATAAGAATACCTTAAGCCCTTCTAGGCCTTAAGCAGGATTAGTTGGACTTATCTAATAGTAATAGACCCTTATTTTAATTAAGAAGAAGACATATCTACTATTATCATAGGTGATAGTAAAGGCAAAGCAGTATAGCTTACTTTAGCTTTAAAGGAGAACCTCTCTACCTCTACTCTTATTAATGTGGAGAAGATTACTTAGCTTAAACAAGCTATTAGTTACCTACTTGCAAAGACCCATTAGCTTAAAATATTTAAAGGGATCAAGGCAAATAAAGCTAAAATATTTAAAGGTAAGCATTTAACTCTTAGAAGTTATCTAACCTCTATGGATATACATATCAAGATTAATAACTTAGACAGAGTAAATAAACATAATAAGGTTATATTCACAGGAACGTACCTAGGAGGATTAGCATTTACATGGTTCAAGCTATATATGCGTGATTACAACGAGAATACTACTACATAATAGAAACCTTTAACAAAGAAGATCTTTAGAGATTATAAAGAATTTAAGAAATAAATCACTAAAGCCTTCAGAGACCTAGATACTAGATAAACTATAGAATTAAAAATTACTAACCTATACTAAGGCAAGATAAACATTAGAGAGTACACTACTAAGTTCTATTAGATTATATCTAACCTATAATAGGGAGACGAAGCCCTTATATCTAGGTATTATACTAGACTTTAAGACAAGACTAAGGACGCACTCGCTCTTATTAATAACTAGCTAGATGACTTAGATGAACTTATCAATACCACGTCACGGATCAAGAACTGATAATATGAATAATAGATAGACTAGTAGAAGTAATATAAATAGTTTAGTAATAATAAAAAGGTTAAATAGGACTAAGATAGAGACGTGGAAATAAATATAGCTATTACTACTAGAGAATAGAAGGATAGACCACATGAGAAATAATACTTTAAAGGAAAGTATTATAGATATAGAAAAATTAGATATATAAAGAAGGATTATTAATTAAAGTATAAGAAGAATAGACTAGCTATCTACGACTCTTAAATTAATGCCGCCTTTGTAATAACCAAGCTAATTATCACCATAACAAACAACGACGGGAATGAAATAGATATAATAGAAGAAATCCCTAAGGATAAAATAGCGCGATACCTAGGAAAAGATAAGTTTATTCATAAATTACTTAGTTATAGATTTAAACAACTCACTCTCGCCGCAATCAAAGAATCAAAGAAAACTAAATAAGTAGTTAAGGACGTGAATAATTTAATCTAGGAAGTATATAAGATAAAATAAATAATACTTATAGCACTTAAAGAAGAAAGACTACAGGATGAAATAATAGTTACTCTAGACATTAGCTAGAAGGAAGCATCTAGTATATTACTCCATCATGCAATCTAACCTAATAATTAGGTTAATAATTAGATAAAGAAATATAATGAAGCACGTAAGACGTAGAATAGAGAGACTAGTATTAAAGGTCTTAGAAAAATTATTAAAGATATTAAGCTAAAGCATGATAAAGGACGCTCTATAAGTTTAGACAGGAGATATAGCTTAGTATTAATAAAAGAATATCCTCTCATCCTACTATGGATTACAAGAGTAGCGCGACTAGCGAATAATCATGAGATCCTAGATTTAAAGGAGAAGTTCCACCAAGATCCTTTAATAGTTTAGATTAGTAATAAAATAGTTATAACTCGCTATAAGACTCGTGAAACTTAGATAGAAACCCTACTTAAAAGTAATATTAAGGATAAAGAACCTTGTAGTTATAAACCAGCTCATGTAACTTGCTAGGAAGATTTAGGAAAAATATAGTAAGATTATATCTTAAAATATAGATAATATAGAGATTAGATATTCTTAGAATGCCCTAAATATAGAAAAGTTAATATTAAATTCACTAAAGAATATGAAAGAGTATTAAACGAATAAGGAACTAGTTTATATAGTAGAATTCTAGGTCACATGTACTAATACTCTTGCAGGTACTATCCTTAGTTAAGCAAGAAAGCACACTAAGAAATTCATTAGATAGAATATTATAATAAAGATTACGCTTAATATTACTAGTATAAATTTAAGTATTACTAGATACCATAGCTACCCAAGGTACTGTTAAGACCTAACTTTAGATACCCTCTTAGAAAAGATGACTATAACTATGTAGAGGAGGAATAAGGATACCTAAACCACGCAAGACTTAGTAGCTACGACTATGAGGTCAAGAACTACACATTCTACTATAAGAAAGAGAGATTTAAACCACGAAATTAAAATAATATTCTATAATAATACTACGAATAGCACTAGAAGGAAGTGAACCTTTTTTCTATAGAAAACAACAAATTAATTATAATTATTACGAAATTAAATGGGTATAATGCAAGAATCTTGCTAGATTTAGGATATTTAGAATAATTCTTAAGTAAAAGATTTATTAGTAATAATAACATACTAATAAGACCAGCTAGGTATAACTTAAGAATCCATGGATTTAGAGGAAAACTATTATATAATACACTAGCATTCATGATAGATGAGGTATAGTTTAATAGTAGAGAATATTTAGAAAATCTAAAATTTAAGGTAGTACCAACCACGGAGCAAGGATTCTATAATAGTATTATTAGGATAACATAGTTATATATACAAAACCTAACTATTAACTAGATAACTAGGAGTGTTTGGATCAAAGAATATTAGTTAAGAACTAGGAAAGAGAGATAATAAAACACATAGATCTAGGTTACCATAGGAGTATTAG